AGGTGTATGTGGTGTCTGTATATACACTATAGTTCCAAATATGAAGACAATCCAGCTATTAGTTCTTGAGATATCGCGGCAACACCGTTTTCTAACTCCAAAAGCAGATTTGCCTGCTGTGACCTTGAAAATGGGGTCAAGGTCACCAAAACCGACTGGTGTCTGCGGTGTCTGTATATACACCATAGTTCCAAATATGAAGACAATCGAGAGGTTTAGTTCTTGAGATATCGCGGCAACACCGTTTTCCAACTCTAAAAGCAGATTTGCCTGCTGTGACCTTGAAAATGGGATCAAGGTCACCAAAACCGACTGGTGTCTGCGGAGTCTGTATATACACTATAGTTCCAAATATGAAGACAATCCAGTGTTTAGTTCTTGAGATATCGCGGCAAAACCGTTTTCCAACTCCAAAAGCAGATTTGCCTGCTGTGACCTTGAAAATGGGGTCAAGGTCACCAAAACCGACTGGTGTCTGCGGTGTCTGTATATACACCATAGTTCCAAATATGAAGACAATCCAGTGTTTAGTTCTTGAGATATCGCGGCAACACCGTTTTCGAGATCTAAAAGCAGATTTGTCTGCTGTGACCTTGAAAATGGGATCAAGGTCACCAAAACCGACTGGTGTCTGCGGAGTCTGTATATACACCATAGTTCCAAATATGAAGACAATCCAGTGTTTAGTTCTTGAGATATCGCGGCAACAAACAGGTGGGACGTACGGACGGACATACGGACGGATGTACGGACGGACGTACGGACGGTCGTGAATACTATATCCCCCGCTTCGCGCTTTCGCGCGGCGGGGGATAAAAAGACATGCAGGTGGTGTCATGTGACTAATTCATGCGTAAACCAAAATCCAACCACACAATAATGCACAAATAGTTCTATCATGATAATTCTCGCGATATGTAACGAGAAATTACATTACCTGCAGCTTTGATCTTCTGGCAACACCGCTTTAGTTCGCTTGGACCGGAAAATGCTTCGTGTCATGTTACCAAACGTAAATTATAGCTCATATTCAGCAAACAACTGCGTTTTAACCCTAGATCATTAATGTAACTTTATAAGCTCAATGTCAATTGTAATAAATTCACATGTAAATTGACGGCACACCTATTGTCTGCTTGTTTACTTTCCTGGTGTAAATGTTACGTGACCAGACACGTGATGTCCACGTAAAACTTTAAAACTATGGAAACAAACAAGTAAGGGTAATTTCTTATTGAAAACTAAATGCTTTTTGAGAACTTCTGTCTCTGTAGTTTTGACGATATTAAAAATAAAGCTTCATTTTTACAGGTTTGGACCAATGGTGAACCAACCAGAAGAGGCCAATATAGGCAATATTTGTCTGCTGCCCTAGACAAGGCACATGATGCTGTTTTGGATGGAATTGCAATTAGGAAAGCTGCCACTACCTTTGCTGTTCCGTTTGCTACACTTCATGACAGGATTAGTGTGAAAATTTCTATTGAATGCATAACCACTGGTAGAGAACCACTATTGTACATAGAAGAAGAACAGTGACTTGTTTCAAATACTGATGCCATGGTATGGCTATACTAGGGCTGAGGTTACTCTTATAGCCACAGATCTAGCAATTCATCTTGGAAAGAAGTCAAAGGATGAACAACCCCTATCACTTCAGTGGTTCTATGGATTTATGAAACGATGACCTGATCTATCAGTGAAGAAGCCACGATCCCTTGAGATACAGAGAGCGAAACCTACCTCAGGGGAGACTGTCACTAATTATTTTAATGACCTTTAATAAGTGGATAAGTACAACCTGAAGACACGCCCTCATCGAATTTATAATGATGATGAAACGGGACTTATGGAGAATCATACCTCACCATCAGTAGTCACCTTGAGTGAGAGTACTCCAGCTGCAGTGACATCAAGATCAAGTACTACAACTGTTATAGGTTGCGGCAATGCGTCTGGTAGTTCTATACCACCGTATCTTGTATTCAAGGGCAAGAGGATGCAGGAAGAACTCCTTTCAGGAAGTACCCCTGGAACAGTAGGCACTGTAAGTGACTCTGGCTGGTCAAACATGGAGATTTTTCAACACTATCTGACAGAGCATTTCCTGAAGCATGCTGTAGCCATGTCTGCAGATAGTGTACTTCTTATTGTGTACGATGGTCATAGATCCCACAGATCTATTCCCCTGATCAAATGGGCACGTCTGCATCGCATTATTTTGTATATACTGCCTGCACACACGTCCCATGTTTTACAGCCAATGGATGTTGGTTGCTTTGGACCTTTAGCTAAAATTTACAACAACCTCCGTCATATGTATATGCGGAAAATGCCACAAGTTCAGTTGGTAAACATTCAGTTTGTGAACTTGGCTGTAGAGCTTATAACCTGTTGCTGACACCAAAAAATTTGCAATCCTCTTTCAGGAAATTCGGAGTCTACCAAATGGACAAGTCTACTACCTCCAATATAAAGTTTGTGCCATCAACAGTTTTTAAGTTGATTGAACAAACGCTGCATCCTGATACTGGTCTTATTGGTTCAAGTGTGCCAGTTGGAGACAAGGTTGTCACTTCACATAACTGAGGGCAATGATGTAGCTGGATTCTTTAAAGACAAGACGACTGTACTTTTCAAGAAAGCTGTGCCTACTAAAAAGAGAAACGTTTTGAGTGCTGTTGTCGGGAGCAAGGCCATCACCGAAGATGTCATTCTGAATAAAATTATTTCCCACCAGACTGTGAAATCGGCACCCAAAAAAGAAAGCAAGCACCTAAACCATGTAAATCTTCGAAAAAAACCTACTGTCACTGCGACGAATGCAAGTACTTCTTGAACTTCACCGTCAACGCGCATCAGGACACTAGTTTTGATTCGTACGATAGTGGTGGGACAAGTGATGGCGAACTCTGCTGCAAATGTAACCAATTTGTACCTGATGAGGTTCGTGCTAGTGTCTCATTGATAATTACAACCTGGGCACAATGTACCCACCCAACATGTCAGCATTGGACACATTCACATTTCTGCACACCAGTTCGTGTTGTGCATCGACATTCTGAGTTTTGGTGCCCCTGTGTTGATGAGCCTGAAGAATAACTCCCTCCATGAACCTTGTAAATAAACTGGATATTTGTGACTTTTCAACGTTTTTTTTCAATATTAAAACATAAAATGAACGTTTCATGGACAAAGATATCATAAAACAACTGTGGACTGTACTAATTCGGATTTTGACACAAGAGACCATCCATACATGTCATCCCGGTTATGCGACATGTCAGCCAATCAAATGATCGAACTTGTGTGAAGTAGCTTTCTGGGTCACTTCTGTTGACAGTGAGAGGGAAGCCATGTGAAGCTGCGAGTGTCAATTTCTGTGGAAATACCTGGATTTTGTAAATGTTTGACATGAATAAACAAGTTTAGAGGTAATATACTTTAAAAATAGATTAGATGAATATTACTAAGAATATTCAGTGACTTTTCGTAAGTGATCGAACTTCCATGACACGAGGATATATATAATGGTATCCTGCAACCTCGGGGTATCGCGGTACTTGTCATGTACGCTGAACAAAACAAAATGCACTCACTAACCTTTATGATTATTCGTGTTCTCTGTATCACATATCATTCATATTATCAAACAATGCATATTTTACTGATAAAAGTTCATTATTTACATTAGTAGCTCCGAGTAAAAGCCGGGTCTCGCACTCTGTTTGACAAGGGAGAGAACTCCATCGTATCGCGGTACAGAGAAAAGTTGTGAATGGAGGTCTGAATTGGACAAAAAGAGGGCATAATTCTACCAACCACTTGGTATGATCATGCCAGACATCAGTGATTTGTCAAGACAAGTGCAAAGACAGCACAAGCAAAATTCTAAATGTGCCATCAGCAATAGGTATTCAATGCATTTTTACCGAAAAGTAAGAGAAAAATATTTTTACAAGTCAACAACAAAATATCAGAAATGATATTTTAAGATTGTTTAAAAAAAATTGGATGACAATAATTTGTCACAAAATGGAAAAATGTTAAAAGTAAACAATAAATATATAAAAAGCACTCCCAGTATGCCCAAAGTATGTATTTATCTTTTGGTTACTAGTGAAGAACGTATTTCTAAGTTTGGCATTATGGCCCTTATGATCTCCCAATAAATTCTGGGCACAGAGCGGGAAAAAATGTGCGGACTACGTAACTTCCGTTACCTCATTAGTCGCCATGAATATGCAGATGATCTAGTTCAGGTCGATATAGAAAGTTTACTTGGGGAACTGCGGGTTATATCGTTGGCCATTGACAGATGGGGGTAAGGCAATATTACAACAGATGCCAGAAATATGTATCAACGCATTAATAACTCCTTACTTACAGCAGATGGAACATTCCGAGGAAATTGAAATTGTTTACGAAGTGAGCATTTCCTGGTTACCGATTTGCATCAATAGACAGCCGCTAAGAGGCGTGTCCCGCGTGAACTATCGGAAATCACAAATGTCGCGATACGATGAATGCTGCGGTACCATGGGGTCCAAGTATACTTATGTGGCTAACTCATTCAGAGTTAGCACCACCACCCGGGCTACACTTGGAATAAAAACAACCTCTTGAAATCTATTATGTGCCTGTGGCCTTACATTACTGAAATAAATCAATGTCTATGTTTGTCTTGTTTACCCAAAATTTGGGTCCATTTTCTCCTAAATTGGTAGCCATTTTCACTAAAATTAGTGACCATTTTCTCCAAATTGTCTGAAGCCATTTTTGAATGTAGAATATATTATGTTCTCCGGCAGTTTCAAGGGTACTTTCACTCTCCTACATGGGGCACAGTCCCTACATTGGGCAGTTGACTGACTAATACTGACTACAATTCAACATGGGAAGCTTGTCATCGAACTTCCGCGTTCAGACAATTCACACAAAATCTGCAGACATCAGTTTTTCTGTCAAATTAATTCAGTACGAAATTTACACATACTTACCAACAGAATGCAAATATTAACTAGAATTGCTCTCTCTCTTCATTAACTTTGCATTGAAAAGACTGATTCACAACTTCCGTCGTATTTACCAAGTGATGTCACCGTAACGTGTGCTAAACGTCACTGTTTTAGCGCCCGGAACCACTTGCGCAATTTATAGAAAGATACAGTTTGACGTGAACTTGAAAATTTTGAGAATAGCAATAAGTATGTTCTCGTTATTTTAATATTCTATTAAAGCCATATATAACGCTATACGTGAGTCATGGGTTTTATTATAGATATAAATAAAAATAATAAACGTCCATTGGACGATTCCAAAACTCTCCCCTCTACTTTTGTATAGAAGCGAAACCTTTCTGTAGGATTGGACAAAGGCCAAACGAGGCTAAGAGCACTGTAAGGAGTAATACTGGCTGAGGTTCAACATGGCTGAGTATTTGGCGTCAATTTTTGGAACAGAGAAAGATAAGTAAGGGTCCTTTTGTTTTTGTTTTTAGTTTGATGAATATTTACATTCTTTACCCTGCCGTTTTGGGATTCACGTGAAAGCAGACTCCTCCACGTGTATATTTCGGCAACGCGTGACTGTAGGAGAGCTGAAGGCAATGCTCGTCCAGAAACAAGTGAGCTAGAAAGACCAAATGAATCTCATTATGTCACACTAGAAATATAGGAAAGACTTCCGCCCGTATCCCCACTCCAAAAGTTATATATATTTACGTATAGCGTTTTTCTTCCAACTATATATGTATATATATATTGAGGGGCAATACTGGCGGAAGTCTTACCACTGTAGCCCATCATCCATCACTAGCCCACCCCATAATTTTGCTGGATAGCAGGCTCACGGTCTAAAACGCAACCCACAATTTCAAGGGTAACAGGCTATCGATAAAACAATTAGCATCCTATCAGTTTGTTGTTCTTGCTACCGTTGGAGTAGTAGACTAATACAGTAAAGTACTGTCAGAAGTACTAGAAAAATGCTTTTTGCCTGTTAAAACAACATAGAATGTTTCACAGACTGTTGCTTTTGTAATATTGAGTAACTACCGATCTACCTACCTGTGGTTTAAAGTCTTTCCATCACAATGAGTCCTAACGACAAATTTACTAGCGAAAAATTCGAACGGAAACAGCAAGTTCTGACTTATTTAGCCAAATGAGGGAGGTTTCAGCGGTAGAAACTAACAGTTTCAGTCCACTAGTCCTTATAATGATAACAAATAGCAAAACCTTTAAAAATGGCAAATTTCTACTAGTCCTTAGGATACCTTTACTATTGGGTAGTTTGGCAAGGACTATAGGACTAGTGCCAATTTCTAACCCTGAGTTTAAAAAAGGCTAGAAATTGGCACATGTGACTGGGTTGTAATAACAATAATGGGATGGTCACCGACCAGTTATCCAAATATATCGCCTTTTTTTTCATGTTATTTCTGACATATTCCATGTACAAAGTTGACGGTACCAACTTTAATTTTTGTGAAACTATAAGCAAATGCGCTTATTTTTGTCCGTGGGATAAGATTTAGATTAGTTGATTTCTGTCATGAAGCTACGGTCGGGAATCAAAACAGTGGAAATAGAACTTTCCCGTCGACTTACTGTACCAGTTATCGCCATTATCTTTACAGCATGTGCCATGTGATCATGCGCACCGCTTCAGTTATACAAATTACATTTTTTTGTATCTTGGGTATCGCACTTAATGTTTAGCTCACCGGGTCCGAAGGACCAAGATAAGCTTATGCCATACCGTGGCGTCCATTGTCCGTACGTCAATAATTTATTCAAACGAGTTCTTCTTCTGAACCACTAATAGGAAATTAACGACATTTGACTGGAAGCATGCCTAGGTGGTGGGGATTCAAAATTGTACAAATGGTGGGGCTGAGGGCAGGGCCAAATAGGGGTAATTTGGCTATATTGCTTCAAATGACTTTTACTCTGGAACTAAGAGATAGCTATCAACCATATTTGATTGGAAGCAATCTCCAGTGGTGGGGATTCAAATTGGAGAAATGGAGGGGCTGAACCCTACCCCCACCCCCACCCCCGGGGACTAAGGGGCGGGGCTGAAAAGAGTTTATAACTTGAACACAGTTAAGATTCCCACTACATAACCATATGTACAATTGAGAGTATAATGAGAGGAATGCACATATGCTACCAGAACTGGCCCTTCTGTTCATCTGTACAGCACTCCCAAAGGAGTTAGAATCTTGACCATAACATGCAAACCGATATTATCCCCACCCTATAATAAACAGGTACATTGTATACATTTGTCTATGTTTGAAGAGAATAATACCTTTAATATGATTTATCCTGGATCATAACATGGAAACGGTTCAGATCTTTGTTACATTTGTATCTACACGTTCATGCTGTCAGATTTGCCATCCACCCATTTTAAATGCTTACAGAGTCAAAATTACGAAGTATTATATACATGTACAATGCAAATAATCTTTTTGTAATGATTACATAAATATCCAGCTGAGTGAAACACCCTCTTTGGGCCTCTTGTTTTATTCATCAAAATTACTAAGAAATGCTAATATCAATTTGTAGTCTGCAAACTGACAAAAAACAATATTTACCAAATTCAATCTACACATGCTTATCCATAACACTATGTACTATGGATTTCGTGATATATACAGGTTATGCATTTTCAGAAATATAGATCAAATAGGTTTCAAAATTGTATTTTGGGGAAGAAATGACAGATTGCAAGAAATGACAGAACTGAAAGTGCATATACGTGTTTGATATAGGGGTGGTCATGTTCTGGACATAGAACGGTAGTACCGCTAACATGGCGGAGTAGATATCAACCTTGTACCAGTTATCATACCTTTGGGTGATAGTACAGATTCAGAGATGTCATCTTCTGGAGTACAACAAATACTTCTTGATTCAAAAACTGCAACCATCCAATACCCCTCCTGTTTCATAGCTCTTAACTGTTTCACCATTTTCCCAAGCAAATATAATGCAGGACATATTCTAATTGTTAACCCCGTCATCACATATCCAAAACATGTACAAGAACAGCAATATATTGAGGCCAGCCCAAATTCAGATGTCATTGCACCTGTTAGAATGCATGGGACTGTGTAAGGTCATTACCTCGGAACAGGTGTCAGGTAATTACCTCAGCTGTTTCATAGGTGCATGACAACACACATTTTTTCTACGTTTATCATCATTTTACCCATAAAAGTACCTTTTTAGGCTAATCACAGTGTCAGTTAGAGCAGACTAGATGAGGTAGATTTGCAATCTTTTGATATCTGTTATTATCCCCCGCCCAACAAAGCTGGCGGGGGATGTAGAAACGGGCTCCGTCCGTCCGTCCGTCCGTCACGTTTTGTTTCCAGAGCATCACTCAGAAACCGTTCAATTTTTTTTCATGAAACTTTGCAGGTTTGTCAGGTACATGCTGAACTGGTGCCTTTTGCTATTTAGAAATTTTAGAAATTTTTGTTTTTTACGTTTCCATGGCAACAAGATGGAGTTAGGTTCCAACTCTCTTTTTTTTTCTACAATTTCCATGACAAGTTCCACCTCGGTTAAAAAAGGTAAGGGTTTGTTTAGATTTAATTATGTCATAAATTCTGCAACAGGGGCTGGGGATATAGCCACGTTAGTGGCAAACTCTTGTTTTCATAGCGCTATGATTCATATTTTTTAAATGAAGCCAGAAAAGCATTTTTCTAGCATTTCCAACAGTACTTTAGTAGTCTAGTTGGCCTAGTTTAGTTTCCCCAAACAATAACAATACCACAAATAAATCATGTGCACTGTGCGTTTATGTTCTTAATAAATGCGATACATACCACTAGGGCTGTTATTCACTCGCGTATTCGGTGAATCAAACCGTATCCATTCATGAATTGAACTCGTTATTTGTGGCCACTAGAATCTAATATTTATGAATATGCAGTCATGGGCATTTACATACCCTGTACCTAAAAATTTCCATAAGAACATATTATATGCATAGATGTCTTCACAAGACAACACTCTCATAATATTTAACATGTTTAATTTGACAGTATTGTGGTCACTGGTCATTGTCGCATTTGTGCAGATACTAGTTCCTGGATAAGTGCAGTATATAAATGTTTAATATATTAATAATTAACAAACCATGTCAAATAATTTATGTTGTTATTGTTTCACTGATTACAACAAATAATACATCAACTGCTGACTTGTTATTGTATTTGTGAATTGCTATTCATATTCGTTACCCTATATTCGTGATACGAATCATATTCGTCTCACAGTGTATTCGTTGCAGCCCTACATACCACCATGTATTGCATGCGTTCTTTCATCTGTAAGTTGTCAAATATTACCCATATTTGCAATGTAGTTGTCAACCATGTTGTTGGAATTTGCTATATGGCCACAATAGACACACATTATAAAGAAAGCTGGCCACGATTATACTTTTTCGATCACTGAAATCACTTGCAAATTTCTGAATTTCATAATTTCTGTTCAACTGTTCACTTATAGTTATATAACCTTTGCCAACAAGATGAAATATGCATGATTTTGAAAAACTAATATACCAGTATTTTCCAAGCATCTTGTGATACATATTTATTCAGGCCTCAAAGTTTAATTTTAACCAAGTAACCAAACAAGGATTTTTTTCCAGGTAGCCAGTGGTAAAATCAAGAAGTCAAGCCAATATTGTAGGAAGCCAAAAGCAATTGTAATTATCTTTTATCAAATAACTATTTCATGTACAAGTCATAGCACTACTTTTGGAATTGTATATTAGTGGAAACTGTACTTGAGTATGTTATTTGTGACTCAAACAATGATGCAATTTATATTACTAGATTACATAGGTATATCTTTGCTTATCCAATAAACTATCAACTAAAATAAAGTACTAATTACATTAATATTTTTGTATTTATGTATTGATTGTTGGAGGAATTTGCGAGTACAATTTGTAGCACAAATGTTTATTTTTATGTCTACATATGTGTAGCAATAGAAGTTAGTCGCCACAAGATATTTTTCAAGGTAGTCATTTGGCTATTTTAGTAGTAACTTTGAGGCCTGTTAATGGTAATTTATATTGTGGTATAGTGGTAATACATCGTACCTCTACAAGAGGGATCACTGATAGGTTAAGTTTAGGTTGTCACCTGAAATTGTGATGGTGGATACAAAAACATGTCATCCAGCATCACCTTCACCTTGTTCAGAAACATGTCATGGATGTTTGTAGTATGCAGGTATGTAGTTGGTGAGTAAGGCTGTGCGTACAAGTTTACACTGTAGTCATTATCACTTTCAGTTTGCCACAGTACAATAGAAAATGTCTTTTTGTTGACACATTTAATGTACCCAGCTTATCTTTTTCCCCAGCCCATAATTATATGGAAAAAAAGTGTGATCTTAACATTTCCGAAGTTTACTCCAGCTCATCGTCAAACATAACCAAATGTCAGATGCTGACATTAAATGACACTTTTAATGGTATTTTGGAGGCAGGTAAACATTTTATGTACAGAGGAAGAATGTGTAGATTCTAACAGTATGAATATAACTATTTCTTGTGTTCGATACATCATGCCAAAACACTGGGACTTGAGATGTAGTTAATTTGGTTGAAACAAAATATGTTGTACAGACACATAAAACGACAGTTCACCCCCCTGCTGAAACGCTCATTCAGTGTATTAGGTTGCCAGTGTTCAGAGAATATCTGAATGTATCATGTTAACCATCCATTTTTTATATGAGTATATGCATCAAGGTACAAAACAGAAACTAAAAATCGTAAAATTAATGTGTCTCCAAATAAATATGACCCCTAGCCAAAAATGACTTGATATAAATGCGAAGTTTAGTTAATGCGAGCAAAGACCACACACATTTTTCGCATTTAATTCATGCTTGCGTTAACTTTAATATTTACAGCATCTTGCCCAAAGGCCCAAAGGCCCAAAATGCTTTGAAAATGTTATGTTTCTTGTCACATGATTACAGTGATCAGCTCCTGCAAGTTGAACCATTTCTATGAGCCTGGTGGGTTGCCTATGATATAAGAATCACAATCCATGTATCAACATACATATAACAATGTAACATTTATGTTTATTTCCTTTACAGAGTCAACTGTTCTTTTTACTTTAAAATTGGAGCTTGTCGCCATGGTGAGAGATGCTCCAGACTGCATAACAAACCAACATTTAGCCAGGTAAGGTGACTTACAAACTAGAGAACATTTGAAAAATAAAATATGTAAATGAAGGTGCAAGATATGCTGCATCAACACCTCACACACTGATACAACATCCACACATCACACACTGATACAACATCCACACCTCACACACTGATACAACATCCACACATCACACACTGATACAACATCCACACATCACCTCACACACTGATACAACATCCACACATCACATCACACACTGACACAACATCCACACATCACCTCACACACTGATACAACATCCACACATCACACACTGATACAACATCCACACATCACACACTGACTCAACATCCACACATCACATCACACACTGACACAACATCCACACATCACATCACACACTGATACAACATCCACACATCACATCACACACTGACACAACATCCACACATCACCTCACACACTGATACAACATCCACACATCACACACTGATACAACATCCACACTGATACAACATCCACACATCACACACTGATACAACATCCACACTGATACAACATCCACACATCACACACTGACACAACATCCACACATCACACACTGATACAACATCCACACATCACACACTGATACAACATCCACACATCACACACTGATACAACATCCACACTGATACAACATCCACACCTCACCTCACACACTGATACAACATCCACACATCACCTCACACACTGACACAACATCCACACCTCACCTCACACACTGATACAACATCCACACATCACACTGATACAACATCCACACCTCACCTCACACACTGATACAACATCCACACATCACACTCTGACACAACATCCACACATCACCTCACACACCGACACAACATCCACACATCACCTCACACACTGACACAACATCCACACATCACACTCTGACACAACATCCACACATCACCTCACACACTGATACAACATCCACACCTCACCTCACACACTGATACACCATCCACACATCACATCACACACTGACACAACATCCACACATCACCTCACACACTGACACAACATCCACACATCACCTCACACACTGACACAACATCCACACATCACACACTGACACAACATCCACACATCACACACTGATACAACATCCACACTGATACAACATCCACACATCACACTGATACAACATCCACACATCACACTGATACAACATCCACACCTCACCTCACACACTGATACAACATCCACACATCACACTCTGACACAACATCCACACATCACCTCACACACTGACACAACATCCACACATCACACTCTGACACAACATCCACACATCACCTCACACACTGATACAACATCCACACCTCACCTCACACACTGATACAACATCCACACATCACATCACACACTGACACAACATCCACACATCACCTCACACACTGACACAACATCCACACATCACCTCACACACTGACACAACATCCACACATCACCTCACACACTGACACAACATCCACACATCACCTCACACACTGATACAACATCCACACCTCACCTCACACACTGATACAACATCCACACATCACCTCACACACTGACACAACATCCACACATCACACACTGACACAACATCCACACATCACACACTGATACAACATCCACACTGATACAACATCCACACATCACACTGATACAACATCCACACATCACACTGATACAACATCCACACCTCACCTCACACACTGATACAACATCCACACATCACACTCTGACACAACATCCACACATCACCTCACACACTGACACAACATCCACACATCACACTCTGACACAACATCCACACATCACCTCACACACTGATACAACATCCACACCTCACCTCACACACTGATACAACATCCACACATCACATCACACACTGACACAACATCCACACATCACCTCACACACTGACACAACATCCACACATCACCTCACACACTGACACAACATCCACACATCACCTCACACACTGACACAACATCCACACATCACCTCACACACTGATACAACATCCACACCTCACCTCACACACTGATACAACATCCACACATCACATCACACACTGACACAACATCCACACATCACCTCACACACTGACACAACATCCACACATCACACACTGACACAACATCCACACATCACACTCTGACACAACATCCACACATCACCACACACACTGATACAACATCCACACCTCACCTCACACACTGATACAACATCCACACATCACCTCACACACTGACACAACATCCACACATCACCTCACACACTGACACAACATCCACACATCACCTCACACACTGACACAACATCCACACATCACACACTGACACAACATCCACACATCACTTCACACGATGACACAACAGTAATTATACATTGTCCTTAGTGACAGTACATCTTTATGCCAGTAATCATACATTGTCCTCAGTGATAGTACATCTTTATGCCAGTAGTTATACATTGTCCTCAGTGACAGTACATCTTTATGCCAGTAATCATACATTGTCCTCAGTGATAGTACATCTTTATGCCAGTAATTATACATTGTCCTTAGTGACAGTGCATCTTTATGCCAGTAATTATACATTGTCCTTAGTGATAGTACATCTTTATGCCAGTAGTTATACATTGTCCTCAGTGATAGTACATCTTTATGCCAGTAGTTATACATTGTCCTTAGTGACAGTACATCTTTATGCCAGTAGTTATACATTGTCCTCAGTGATAGTACATCTTTATGCCAGTAATCATACATTATCTTTAGTACGTCTGTAAATATACACTTGTATTATATACATTGCTCTCATCTCTGTATGTAGACGGTCCTCCTGCAAAATCTGTACCTGAACCCCCAGAATGCAGCTCTCACAGCCGATGGCTCTCACAGTGAGTACCTACCACCTGTTTCCCCTACTCTGTGTTGTGCATAGTCTGTCTTGATGGTGGCGGCTCACTTGCTTCATGTCTTCTTTTGTAAGCAAGTTCTTATGTTGTGATGATTATTGTACCAAGGTTAAGGCACTGGCCCTTTGAGCACCCAGTCCCTTGAGGCCAAAATATGTCCATTCTGAAATAAAGCAATAACATTTAATAACTGTGTAATTGCATCATTAAAAAATTGGACTTTGACATAATTTCAATTAAGCCTGTGTTATGTACTGGCTGAACTCTGACATGAACTGATCCCCCAACCTGACCTGTGAGATGATTACTGATTCTCCTCAGAGAAGGATCCCTTCATAAACAATTTACACCACACTGGGATGTTAGCCATTTCCACTGTTTCCAACCAGGCTCTGGATTAGCCTGGAACTAGAGGTGTTCAGGCTACAGTGTCTTGGCGCCATTTTTGTGTTTTCAAGTTGATTTTTATCCTATGTTTATTTTTATGTAGACATCTTTTTATTGAATGGTAATGTGCAGTTACATTCTTTCCTTTTCTACTTGGAATTGTTGCCTCTTCAGTTAACTCTGTATATCTGTCTGACTGCTTCCTTGATGTCTTTACACTGCCTCTTCCCAGACTGCAGATGTTAGGGATGGGTACTGGACCTTTAAAGTGTATCACAATATGTTACCATGCACAAGGCCATATTGCGATATGTATCATGATATATTGTATCTAAATTTTGAATTCAGAAACAATTTAAATAAAAACAGCAGTGTATGAATTGAAGTTGATAAATGGAACAAGGCAAGATGCTGGTACAACATATAATGTTTACTCATTCAATAAATACGCACCGATGCACACTCTGGGTATTAGGCAAGTGTATAGCATTAAACACATAAACTTTATATGAAATCATCTGATATACCAAGCATTAAAAAGTGATATTGTGATATGTATAGTGGAAAGAATGAACCTTAATTACCAATATACTGGTAATACTGCACACCCTCAGTAGATACAATTGGTTGTCATCATGATGTAGGCATGAATGAAGACAGTATGTCAGTTGGTAATGTGATTTATGATGATGGTTTTCTTTCTGAATGTGACATGTTATATTGTTCTTTCCTTGTTCAGGACAACCTGTGACGCCCTGACCACAGCATACCATGCCATTTAGAATTGTTGGTATATTGTATAAGTTAACGTTCTGCACCTTTTCATCTTTACTTGTATGTTAGATCATATCTTGAGTATTGTAATTTTGTATCTTTCTTATTACATTTGGAAGGAGACCTGCAGCTATTATCTTCAAAATGTTGTTTTACCAAAGAGTTCTCTGGCCTAAGAAGTCCATTTCATTTCATGTAAAATTTCTTGGTTGTATCACTGATTATAGATGTACATTACAGATGCTTCTTAGATAATCCACCAGCCCAATCAGGACATGTAAATGGGAGGGCTTGAAGGTTTTATCGTAATTTGACTGCCCCCACCACAGTGTGTTTTTGAAATAGCACAGGGCATGTTCATCTCGGTACATCTTCCTATCATGTGTACATCTCCTGGATCATGTTTGTAGCCCTAGGAAGTCATTTTACACATAAGTCTGAATAGCTCAATAGTTTAAAGGGGAAGTGTACATGCAAAAATCACTTTCTTTCTTTTTCTAAACAAAACGCAATTTTAGAATTAGTTAGTATCTGTGTTTGAAAATATAAACTCATTTTTTTCACAGTGAAAGTAGGAAGCTCACAATAGTGTGAAAATGCTATGTCGTTATGAGCCCTAGTTTTTCGAGCTAAACAGGCCTGAGTTATCCCCCTTAGATTATGACGTAATTGGTGCCAATTCAACTGGGTCCCTGTCTATTCTCAACGCAAAAGATATCAAGTACCGGTTTGCGGTAAAACAACATGGCCTATGACACACTCCGGCGCAGTGGTGACTCAGCATAACACTATGCTGGCTGGCATCTGAGACGCTAGAATCACACACCTGTACCTACACCACGTGAAGCGGCTCTAACAAAGCATGATGACGTCATAATGTTTATCAATTGGCACCAATGACGTCATTTTGCAAGGGGCATCAGCCATGGTGTTTTTTGTTCTGGAAATAGAACACTTGGTAAATGTGAAAAATATAAATCGGTTTAATACAAAAAATATGTTAATTAATTGGGATATTTTTATATTTTCGTCTATGACACTACTAGGTTAACACTTTTAATGTGGAAAAAGTACAAGAAAAATAGGTTCATTTCCGTGTGAACTTGCCCTTTAATGATAACTCAAACATTTGATTGTGGTGTTAGTGTAGGTCAATGAAACTTGGTACATGTCATCACAAGTAAACCAGGTATAAGGTACTATCTGAAGGCCATTCTTAAAACATGTTTGCATTTTTTCACTAAATGTTTTTCCCATCAGAAGTGTTAAAGTGATGTTTTCATGTTGCACAGTAATTGTGTTACATGGGGGGATTGCTGATGGTAAGTGATGAAATCTTAAAGCAGAAGTAGGTACAGTGACCTACTGGGTATTGTAATGATTTTAAAGTTTCATTGTTACTTTCAACCGCCTCTGTGGTCTAGTTGTAGAGTGTCCGATCCTTGTGGGGTTCGATCCTTGGCCATGTCATACCAAAAGACGTTTAAAGACGGTACATGTTGTCTGCCGCTCGGCATTAAGAGGCTAAAACAAGGATAGGTCGGCTCGGAGTCAGTATACTTTGTCCAAGTGGGGTATTCATGTTTAATTGTGGCATGGTATCTCAGTGTGCTAACACTATAAATCGGCATGCATGTCGCTATATAAGTGCAATAATCTTGGACGCGACGTTAAACCCCATTTCACCTCATTTCACCTCACCTCATTGTTACTTTCAATTCAACCTAGGGACATTATTTTTAGTTCATAAGGCCCTGAATTTTCTTGACATCCTTATCAATGACAGTGAAAATTCCATCTCTCAGTCACTACACACAAATGTATTATATTCATGTTCAGTCAAGACATGTTTGTTGTAGTCAGAAGAAATTTAGTAATTATCATCCTAAGGAAAGGGCATTGAAGTAAAGTTTTGAGTGGCCTCATCGTGCTCTGACATGAAGGTCACAGCAATTGTTAGTCGTTATGAAGTTTTTCTTCTTTGTTTTTGTGTTGTCAGGTCTTCTTTGTTCCACAAGTAATGTCACTAGACTGGAGATGTAGTTAGGTTACTCTTTATATTAGACTAGTTGCAGTTGTAGTGTTTCCCCAAACCAAGGGTAATGGCATCAGTCTGGAAATGCATGGTAATGTGTGTTGTTGATATGTATTGGTTTCTGGGGCCTTCAGGAAATGGTGGTGAAGGGGCTGCTTCTGGTTACTTTTGACAAGACAATTGTACTGTTAAATGATAATTATATTACATTATTCTGCTACAGCCAGTCTGTTATTAACAGTATTCACATTTTGTTTCAGTGCCAGTGTTTTTCTTGAATTTTGTTTTGTTTTTGTAACTATTGTCACTTTGCATGTTGCTATTGTCACTATTGGTGTTGTGTGTGATATGTATAAGTGTTGTAGCCTTGTCCATGTCGTCTCTACTCTGTAAAAAACAGTTGCTGTTTGTAACAACTGCTTGCAGGTAATCATTTTGAAATAAGTACTTCATCGGTTCCAACCTTGAAAATTGATGAATGCTTCCTGTGATCCTAAGGTTGCATGTTGCTATTGCTGAACCTTGTAATCATGGTAATTTTCATGAACAGTTCTGTTTTCTCCTGCATCTCCATTACAGAGACACACACACTTGTGAAGAGATCCCTCCACTGTGTGACATGATAACATAATGAAATGGTGATTTAGTGTAAACTGGGCTGTGTTGTAAATACAACATGAACTGTGGTTGTCGACATGATTGATAATGCATAGTATACACTTCTAAGACAAGGCATCTGCTTTGAGGACACAGATAGAATTGCAATTGAATACTGTAGTAATTTTATGATTGTAACTCAGCTCTGTGTACATGTTGTGTGATTGTGCAGTAATAAGTCAAGCACTTCTTCAAATGAAACCTGATTCAGTAAATATTATTTCTTACTAGGACCCAGCCCAGAGAAATGAAAAAGCATATTCATTGAGTGCGTGTAATGTGTCAGTGTGTGATGTGTGTGATGTTGTGTCATTGTGTGTGTTGTGTATGTTGTCACTGTGTTGTGTCAGTGTGTGAGGTGTGGATGCTGTGTGTGTTTGGTGGCACTGTGTGAGGTGTGAATGTTGTGTCAGGTGTGTACATTGTCACTGTATATGTTGTGTCATTGTGTGTATGTTGTGTCGCTGTGTGTTAATTCTGTTATGTGTCAGTGTGTGTGTTGTGTCACTGTTGCATGTGTTGTGTCTGTGTTAGGTGTGAATGTTGTGTCAGTGTGTTTTCACTGACAGTTGTGGATGCTTTCTCAGTGTCGACTCTGTGTAACTGTAGGGTGTGTATGCTTTGTCACTATGTATATGTTGTGATAGTGTGTGAGGTGTGTATGTTCTGTTAGTGTGTATGTTGTAATTGTATGTGTTGTTCCTGTGTAAAATGTTCTGATCGTGTGTGAGGTGTGTAAATTGTCACTATGTATATGTTGTGATAGTGTGTTGTCACTGTGTATGTAGTCATTGTGTGTATGTTGTCATTGTGTGTATGTTGTGTCACTATGTATATGTTGTGATAGTGTGTGAGGTGTGTATGTTGTCATTGTGTGTATGTTGTGTCAGTGTGTGAGGTGTGTATGTAGTCATTGTGTGTATGTTGTGTCACTATGTATATGTTGTGATAGTGTGTGAGGTGTGTATGTTGTGTCATTGTGTGTATGTTGTGTTAGTTTGGGAGGTGTGTATGTTGTCACTGTGTATATGTTCTGATATTGTGTGAGATGTGTAAGTTATCACTATGAGAGGTGTGTATGTTATCACTATGTGAGGTGTGTTTGTTATCACTGTGTGTGAGGTGTGTATGTTATCACTATGTGAGGTGTGTATGGTGACATGGCATGTTGTAGTGAGGTGTGTATGTTATCACTGTGTGTGAAGTGTGTATGTAATCACTGTGTGTGAGGTGTGTATGGTGACACGGTATGTTATCACTGTGTGAGGTGTGTAAATTTCACTGTGCGTATGTTGTGGTAGTGAGGTGTGTCTGTTATCACTGTATGTGAGGTGTGTCTGTTATCACTGTATGTGAGGTGGGTATGTTATCACTGTGTGTGAGGTGTGTAAATTTCACTGTGCGTATGTTGTGGTAGTGAGGTGTGCCTGTTATCACTGTGTGTGAGGTGTGTATGTTATCACTGTGTGTTAGGTGTGTATGGTGACACGGTATGTGAGGTGTGTATGTTATCACTGTGTGTATGGTGACATGGTATGTTGTGATAGTGAGGTGTCTATGTTATCACTGTGTGTGAGGTGTGTAAATTTCACTGTGCGTATGTTGTGGTAGTGAGGTGTGTCTGTTATCACTGTGTGTGAGGTGTGTATGTTATCACTGTGTGTGAGGTGTGTATGTTATCACTGTGTGTGAGGTGTGAATGTTATCACTGTGTGTGAGGTGTGTATGTTATCACTGTGTGTGATGTGTGTATGGTGACATGGTATGTTGTGATAGTGAGGTGTGTATGTTATCCCTGTGTGAGGTGTCTATATTATCACTATGTGAGGTGTGTATGGTGACATGGCATGTTGTCACTGTGTGTATGTTGTGATAGTGAGGTGTGTATGTTATCACTGTGTGAGGTGTGTATGTTGTCACTGTGTGTGAGGTGTGTATGTTATTACTGTGTGTGAGGTGTGTATGTTGTCACTGTGTGTATGTTGTGATAGTGAGGTGTGTATGTTATCACTGTGTGTGAGGTGTGTATGTTATCACTATGTGAGGTGTGTATGTTGTCACTGTATGTTGTCACTGTGTATATGTTGTATCAGTGTGTAAGTTGTCAGTGTGTGAGATGTGTATGTTGTCACTGTATGTTGTCACTGTGTATGTTGTGTCAGTGTGTAAGTTGTCGCTGTGTGTATATTGTGTCAGTGAGTAAATTGTCACTGTCTGTTGTGTCAGTGAGTAAGTTGTCACTGTGTGTATGTTGTGTCAGTGTGTAAGTTGTCACTGTGTGTATGTTGTGTCAGTGTGTAAGTTGTCATTGTATGTATGTTGTGTCAGTGTGTAAGTTGTCACTGTGTGTATGTTGTGTCAGTGTGTAAGTTGTCACTGTGTGTATGTTGTGTCAGTGTGTGAGATGTCACTGTGTGTATGTTGTGTCAGTGTGTAAGATGTCACTGTATGTATGTTGTGTCAGTGTGTAAGATGTCACTGTATGTATGTTGTGTCAGTGTGTAAGATGTCACTGTATGTATGTTGTGTATGTGTTGAGTGACTTGATGCAGGTACATTATGGAAGCATGGTGTCTTGTACACAATGCTACACCAGACATTCATGTACATTTTTGTTTCAGTAACTGTCGACGAAGTGGAAGCACAACAGGAGTTTGACGATTTTTTTGAGGAGGTATTTACTGAATTAGAGGACAAGGTAATTCATATATGTCATCTGATTTCAGTGCTGCCAGACCCACCCACAGTTTTTTCACCATCATCGTTGACATGAGAAGTACAGGCCTCATGTACTGTGTGTAGTGTCTTGTGTGTCTGTGACCACACATGGGAGGACAGGCAATGTAGGAGATCCAGGTCATGTTTTCTTAAGCGGTAAACATAGGATAAACACAATTCTTATCTAAGAAATTGTGGAGGGACAAAGCCTGTCCTCCTTGTGTGGGGTCATCTACAAGTCACACACACATCACCCCATGTCATCGTCCAGTAACACCCACTTTGTTTCTGTTTGTAGCCAGCGGAGGGTATTGTTATGATTATAGCTAAGTAATTTCATTGTCATCATATGTGAATTAATGGCCACCATTTTTGTTTTTCCCGCTCTATTTTAGTCCAAATGGACGAGTTTGAGATTCAGCAGCACTATGACGAGTTTTTTGAAGAAGTTTATGTTGAAATGGAAAAGGTAGGCTGCAGCTCGTCCCCTACCCTCAGCAACTTACATTATTAACATTGTGACTCCCTGCCACTGCATGTCAATCTTGCTGGCCAGCAAAGGGCTGGCATATTGCACTAACTACTACTTACAGGATCTTTAACACACTTAACACTATGGCAAATATGTTATGAGAGTGCAATAGTGCAATATGTTATTGCACTGTGGGGTATTGTGACCATAGATATTTGCTTTGCCAAGGTTTTGTCACATGTATAAGAGAGGTGCTTCTAGCTCAGTAGAGGCAGCTGGTTCACATATATACAGGATATGACAGGACTTTCACATGCTTCAGGTCCATCTCTTATATTATAGTATGACATGAAAAAAAGACTGGCCATCATTGACCTTTGATTCAAACCATGAAGCACTTATTTGCCACATGACCCACTTAAGATCTCATTTTAGTCAAACAGTAATGAAAAAGATGAAAAATGCAGAAGTTGACGTAGAGTCCTGAATTGTCAGTTGTATTTTGATTGTATTACACTTCATTCAGTTGTGTGGGAGGGGCATATTATGTTGTGGCATTCAGTGAGTAAGTCGACTGCGGTGGTGGCCCTGGTATGCTGTTGACTCCATGTTGGCCTATCTTAGCATGAATAGTGAGACATGGCATGAGTGTGTACTTCATTCATCACATGTGCTTGGGCCGTTCACTTTTAGTCTTTCACAGATAAATGAAGTGTAAGTTGTTGAGGTAGTACCCAAGAGTTGCAGGTGGAGGTAATGCATTCCAGCCTCCAGCCAGAGGTGTGGGAGGAATGTGATGACTTGCATGTACGGCCCTCTGGCTTTCCCGAGCTCCAGGTTTTAACATTTTCAACCAAAACCAAGGAGGAGTGTTTTATCCAACTTATGAACCATCTAAATGCAAGAAATAACAGAAAAAATAAGAAAACATCAAGATACCTTAGCAAAACAAAATAGTATGTCGCTGTATAAAAGGAATTCGATCAAGGCGTGCGAGAGAAAAAACATGCAGCATGGACCAACTGGAGTCATGATGTGTAAAATTTAACAGCTTTTCATTACCTGCCCTGGTGGCTCAGTGGGTTATGGAATTTTCTTGCTAAAAAAATTGTGACTTTTAACCAATCAAAAATCAATATATCAAAAGGCCAGTTGAAAACATGTCAGTTGTAAAACCAAAGTCTTAAAATTGAAATGTAAAATCTCAAAGCAGGTTTAGAAGTCGCCAATTTCTAAACTTGGGTTTGGAAGATGAGCTTGTTACTGATTTACTTCCGATCTGACCTGTGAACATCTGGGTAAGAACAGGTCTTCAGCAACCCATCTATGCTGTAACTATGCTGGCCGTAAGAGGCGACTAACGGGATGGGGTGGTCAGGCTCGCTGACTTGGCTGATGCATGTTATTGTATCCAAATTGCATACCTTGAAGGCGTTGATCCTGGATGACGATATCAATCACTGGATTGTCTGGTCCAGACTCGATTATTTACAGACCGGTGTCATACAGCTGGAATATTGCTGAGTGCAGTGTTAAACAACAAACAAAACCTCCTATCTGGGTTTAGATGAGGGTGTCAGGAACCTATGCAATGTATGGTAATATGGTGATTGGTTTATAAGGCTGAAGGATGCGTATTATAAAAGAAAAGGTCTTTGGTGTCACTGTATTGTTAAATATGTCCTTGTTACATGTATTGGAGTATCCAAACAAAGAACACACCTGACTTAATGTTTGTGAATGAATAGTTCTGTCATATGATGTAAGTGTTCTCGATGCAGTAAGCCAATTTGATGAACTTGGTAGTACAACCTGATTTATAGAATTGAGGTCACCTAGCGGGAAATGGTTTCAAGCTCCATGCATGGGTGCAATATCTGCTTGCTCAATAATCTGTTGACTAACTTTGCCCCATAATTTAGATGAAGGATTCCCCATGTGTGCTTCTGTAGACAAACCTGGTTGCAGAATATGCCACTGTATGATAAATGGGGCAGTTCACTCTAACATTGTATTTATATCTGGTTTCTAAGTTACTTCATTGTATGAAATTATGCTTAAAACATAAATTACTTTAAGTTTAACATGTTTATGAATGACAATATATGATAGATTATTGAACAGATTGTTAACAGTGTTTTTGTATTGTAAATATATGTTAGAAATTATATATCATAAAAGAAATCTGGACATATTCATTCACGGATTGTTGCTAAAATGATTAAGCTTGCCTATGGGTTATGTGCCACTAGATATTCCTACTTTGTTATACGCCCGACCTAAAAGGGCGTGGATATATAGTTATACCAAGGAATTCCCTCTGTTATTCCACGGGCATTTTTATGTGCAACCTAGAACTTGAAAACTACTGCCTAGATTCTTTTCAAACTTGGTGAACACTTTCTATACCAACAGGAAGGATGCAGTGCAATATGTTATTTTTCATTTTTTTACTTCGAATTTTTTAACTTATCCAGCATTACTCCTTAATGCTTTCACTGCTTACTTTTGACAGAAATGAAGAGAGGAAAAGGTTGTTCCATTCCAGAAGTAGGACCCCCAATCACCAGCTTCCACGTCATACCAGAACTCATGACGTCACAGAATTTTCATATCACTGTTGGTCACCAAACAGATGACATTTGCTGCTAAATTAGTCCCCAGTTTTTTCCTGTTTTGCTTTCCTGTGGTCTTCCACACTTCCTGTGTGTCACAATCCGTCGCAATTGTTGTTCTGTATTTCATGTTCAGCTAGGTATTAGCATTGCGTATAAATACCTTTAGCTCTCTATTGACATTTATATTATAATACATGTCTTAAACGTTATGAATCCATTATCGTGAACTTTAAACTTTGTTTGTTCTCTTTATTGGATACTTATTTTACCCTAGTTGCATACATATAAATAGTTCCTTCGATTACTGTGGTGTGTTACGTTGTGTATATTATAACATAAATTCATTATATTGAAGAAAAAACCTTTCTTGTCTGCAAAATAGTTTTGACAAGTATATGCTTGGGCATTGCACTAATCGCTGGGGATTCCAGGGATCCTTACTTTGTGTTTAAGTTGCACTCAGCTTTGCACTTCGGAATCAAGTGTAATTTTTTTCTCCACTTTCTCCCGTAAGTTTTACCAGGTATCAGCAGTTGTCAGCTAAGCCCCTGGCTCAACAATCTCTCTCAATCTCAAGAGGATGTCGGACTCACAGGAGTCCAGGGTGCTTACCTCCCCGGTAAATACTATTCAACCTTCTACTTCAGGTTGGGTGTTACCGACGCCCTTCATTGACCTGATGTCGATGCAGTTATTTACAACAAGCGCACACGCCTCTCTTTGTTCAGGCGCCGGCGCCTATCTACCAGCTAGCTAATCCAGCGCCTTGTGCCTTATTTACCCCTCTGAGATGTCGTTAGCCGGGTCCTTCGACAACCCTGTGGAGTGTAATACACTTGCCCAGATGTCAGACTGGATGGCTCCTTCCCCTTGTCGACAAAAGGGACACTATATTTCGATCCCACCTGACCCAATGTTGAAGGATATGGTCAAGGCGCTTGATGAAGACTTTTTCAATTAACCGTCACACCAGCATTTGAGGAACCAAACTTTAGAAGGGATGATTTTCCTATACACGTCTTTGGGGTAACAGACCACGCTCACTATTTGAATGAGGATCTCCATAGGATGACAGGCTCAAGATCCCTGACAACCATTTCTCCTTCATAGAAACGGAAATCAGGTGGTCCCTAAAACCCTTGTTGGCAGTAGCCTCATCACCTCAGGCTATGGACCAAGACCTCACTGAAACAGGATTGATCACCTCAAGGCGGCTTTAGCCGAAATCACTGTCCAACTGGGACTCCTTGTTTAAGCGCTGGCTGTGGTCAGCCACAATACTGTTCAATGGCCAGATTACTGACACACATATCAGGGTCTTAAAGCTCGAGACGAGACAACATGCGAGGCTCTGAAACATGTATCCCACAACCTTGACCATTGTGCATGGAAGTTGGGCAATTATCAACCCAAGCTCTCATACCCGGGTATCGCCTCAACTTGAAAGGTTCTACCCCAGAAAACATCATCAATTGTTGTCCAACACTGCATCTCTGCAGGGCTGGACCAAGCAGGTGACCAACCAGCAACACCATAAAAACAATTAATCGTTTCCAGAGCCAGCCTAACCAGACTTGTACAGTTTCATTACTCTTGTACAGTTTCCTGCTTTTACACAGTCATGGCTTGGTAATCCATTTTTTAGACCCTCGTGCGCGCTATTGTCTCTTACTGTTTTGTTTACCCGCATGTACACATACTCTTGTTACCTTTCCGTGGACACGATTGGTTGATCAGTTTCCGATCTGCACAAAAGATTTGCGCAGTGCGGCTGACCAGACTGCAAGTCGTGAGAGTTTTACACATCTGAAGGTATCCGCGCCTCCATACCATCAGATACAGATGCATTAAGGAGTAATGCAGGATAAGTTTAAAAATCTAGTAAAATCTAGATATTTTTTATATTTGTAAACTTATCCTGCATTACTATTTCTAAGGGCCCACCCGTCACAGACCTGCCTTCCCAAGATAACTTCAGACACGTTACATGTGACCAACAGTAATATGAAAGGTCTGTGACACCACCACTTCTGGTCTGATGTGGAAGCTGGTGATTGCGGGTCCTACTTCTGGAATGGAACAATCTTTTCCTCTCTTCAGAAGGACCAATCACAGATACATTTCTGTCAAAAGTAAGCAGTAAATGCATTGAGGAGTAATGCAGGATAAGTATACAAATACAAAAAATTTTACTAGACTTAAACATTTGTACAACCTAAGAAACTCCTTCAAGGATTCTTTTCAAAGTTATGGACGCTTGTAATATGTAAAGGAGAGATGTAGTGCAAAGTTTGATTCTGATATGTGTATTTTCTGAAAATAATGTTGTTGTTTTTTCATGTTTTGAACTTAGAATATATTTTTTACCTCAACATTTGTTAGACCTATAACTTGAAAACTGGGGTTTCAGTTCCTGTACCAATAAGAGAGGTTCAGTGCAAAGTTAGAATTCCAAAAGTGATTTTCTGAGAAAATATTACTTTTTTCATGTTTTGAACTTTGAACTACTGGTATGTTTAAGTCGAAGTCGAAGTCGGGGAAATAATTAACTTTTTGCCTTGTTAACCTTCGATTTATCAGGATCTGCACTGTTATTGTAAATTAGATTTGACCAACTGTCTGTGCCAAATGCATTTGAGTCGACTTTCCTGAACCTGTTACTTGACATCATTTCAGTAGACCTTTGGGTTAATCTATAGCTAATGTCAGACTGGACCAATGAAACAAGAGAACTGGAATCAGACCTGACACTTTTAAGATTTACACATGCATATATTGCTTTCCTTTAAGCCTAATTTTTTAAGGAAATGTTGAAATTAGCGCAGAATGTTATGTGTATGACTGGATGTTTGAAATACAGGAGCATGTTAAATAGGAACCTGGTGTGTTACCTGTTTACTGTTACAAGTTAGTTAGGGACAGTGGCACTTAAACATGCTAAAGGGAGGGAGACGTGATATGAATTTCCTAATTTTGAATTTTCATTTATCACCTTGTATCACTTGGCCGTGAACTTTTATGAATCTATTACTGTAAGTAGGATAGAGTGTGTCGAGGAACCATTAGTGGTACAGAATGTTGTTTATTGCTAATACACTGTCCCAGCATAGTTAAATGTGTCTTTATTTCAGTATGGCGAAATCGAGGAGATGAATGTGTGTGACAATCTGGGAGATCATCTGGTCGGCAATGTCTATGTCAAGGTATGAATCATTGAATACTTAGCCTTTGGACTGCAGGGCAGATTTACTTGCCTGTAAGTTCATATGTTCTTATCAGTGTTAGTTTTGTAATGAGTCTTTGTTCCCATGGGGATTCCTGGACAGGAGAGGTGCCCAGTAACCCAAATGACCCCAAAAACACAGTCTGACATGATATTGCCTTAATCCTCTACCGGGATACAACGCTGCTCAAGGGTACCAAACACTTACATGTGGCAACACCGACGTGTTCTGTTTAACCTGACTTTTGTTTACTTTGGACCGCCTCCGTGGTCTAATGGTAGGGCGTCTGCCGGAGAGCGGAAGGTCCTGGATAAAGGGGCTAAGGTCCGGCATAAAACAAGGACTGGTCGGCTCGGAGTCAGTATACTGTGTCTGAGTGGGGTATTCATGTTAAACTGCGGCATGGTATCTCAGTGAGCTAGCGCTATAAATCGGCATCTGTCCGGACTAGTACAAGCAGCCACACACACCTGCATGCATGTCGCTATATAGGTGCGATAATCTTGGAGGAGACGTTAAACCCAATTTCACCTCACCTCACCTTTTGTTTATTTTACCATCAAAGTATCATCAATGTAGATGTAAGTATCAAAGTATCATCTACGTAGATGTAAGTATCAAAGTATCATCTACGTAGATGTAAGTATCAAAGTATCATCTACGTAGATGTAAGTATCAAAGTATCATCTACTTTGATACTTACATTTATGTAGATGATACTTTGATACTAACATATACGTAGATGATACTTCGATACTTACATCTACATGGTTTTTTAGACTGTGGCACTAATATGCTTCCATAGTGTTATTGAACCAGAAGCAAAATTAATATTTTTGCAGTACTTTAGCTTTCTCTACTTATGTGTTGATCATGTTCTTTAGTTCCGGTATGAGGAAGATGCTGACAAGGCTGTCAATGACCTCAACAATCGCTGGTTTAATGGGCGGCCCATCCATGCTGAGCTGTCGCCTGTGACAGACTTCCGAGAGGCCTGTTGTCGGCAGTATGAGATGGGGTGAGTGGGGAATCGGTTTGCGGTACAATGTCTTGATGTCAATGTTGAAGAGTATATAGATATCATTGTTTGTTAGTAATATTTTCCTTTCACAAAGCATAAGAACTGTAGGGTGATTAGTAAGGTTTGTACATTCTTAAGTCCTACAGACAACCCATGACCTGATGTATCTCTCATTTTGTTTCAGTGAGTGTACACGTGGAGGATTCTGCAACTTCATGCATCTGAAACCTATTTCCCGGGAACTGAGACGAGAGTTGTATGGTCGACGCAGGAAGAAGAGGTGAGTTGGAGGAATATTGTTTTAGACTTCAATGCATTTTCATAAACCGATTAATACATGTTTAAAAGTTTGTTGTGTTGTGGTGCTGATGACCTTGATACCTGGGTTCCCAGTGCGACATACTTCGGGTCACTACCTTGTGACAGAGTTTGTTATATTAAACCAGTAGTGCATGTTCTTTCACACAAATAAACACCCCACAGAGATCTGTCTAGATGTTGTCCTTTCTTCTCTCTATTATAAACTTTACATTTTTGATAGAAACTACAAGGCCTATAAAGCTGTAAGGACGATCCTAGTTATGGTGTTTCTAAAAGCTACTCCCATATTCTGATCTGATTTTAGACAGCAACCATTTTGTCCTATACGTACATATTATTTTTAAACTTGATTTACTTATACATTTGTTTGCTTATTTTGACTTTGGGTGCTGCTACGGCCTCAACTGTGATCATGCCCATTTATCTAGTTTTATGGCCATGAAACCTCTGTGTTCATAAACACACCAGATTTCAGCTTTATAATCTCCAACAATGGTGTCCCAAAGAATAGCGGTCCAATTTTAACTGAAAATGTGACTTGCCACTCTGCCACTAGTGCTTGTATCATAATGAAATGTTCGTTTTGTCGTGTCCAGTTTCTGTAAGATATCAGTCTGAAATGGGAATCATTTATGGAGTTGGATGCAGTGAAACCATGTTAATCATGACCAAGTTAATCTAGAACATCAAGTTTAATTACCTCTTCTTTAGAAAACTTATTCTCTTCATCAAATTGTTTTCCATATATTTATATTGTTTGTCACATGACTTTATTTTCTTCTTTTAGGTCAAGGTCAAGGTCACCACCCACACGTCGAAATCGCAGTAACAGTAGGGACAGGGAACGACGCAGGTCCCGTAGCAAGGAAAGGAGGTCACGTAGTCGTGAGCGCAGGAGGTCACGGTCACGTGACCGACATGGAAGATACTGAGGCGCAATGGATGAATTTTTACCATCTTACTGTGGTGAAATATATGGAGTAAATCACAGAAATGTGACAAGTCATCTTATAATGTTACATGTTCTTCGTCAACTAAAGACTCCATTATGTTTGGTTTCATTTGAAAGTTTCATAATGTCAACGTTGTGTGACATGTCATTCATGTTTTAAATTGTAATATGAAATAAATACATTTTATAGATACTTCATTTCCTTTTGTGTTGAATGTTAAGATAAATTCATTGATATCCCTATGAATGTATGGTTGCAATGGTTTACATTAAAGAAATAAGAGTTGTGTCCCTTGGGCACACAAGAAACCTATGATTGTGGGTTTGAATCCTGGTTCGCCCCGATTATGTTTCTAGGTTTGTCAGCACCATACCCGTGCCCGTGGGTTTCACCCAAGTGGTAAACGTCTGAGACCTGCATCACTTCGGGCTTTCCTCCCACATTAAGCTGCGATGCCGCGATATAACTGGAATACTGTTAAAAGCGGCGTTAAACCAAACTCACTAAAGAAATAAGAACATAATTCATTTTTATTATCATAATATTATTGAGAATAATCGAGGATGACAGACAATGTATTCAGTATAAGACCATACAAAAGTTTACTTTGAGGTGCATTTTTTAAGAAATAACGTTTGCTCCATCCCCATGTACTATATACTCACTACCAAAAGAAACTTGAATAACATACCTGCTGGTTAATATATGAATACTTATATTCATGTGACATAAATTTGACTCGAGATGCACTATTTGTCTTGGATTAGCATTTAAAGTTTGGAAATCGCGCAGCATATTGTGATCAGAATAACGAGGCTCTGTTGTAAAACTTGACTGTACATTAAACACATCTCTTCTTAACTTACAGAACCATTCTTCTCTGTATGTTTCAAGCCACAGGGCCTAACCACTGATGCATTTGGTCACTCTTACAAGCTGAGGACCTGTATTCTTACCGGGTATTGGACCCTCAGTATCTTAACTTGAAACATTTTGGGTTTTGACAATGACTCAAGGGCTGGGACGGGTAACTGGAGTCAGGTGGGACCCGGGTCCCCACAGGACTATCTTGGCACATGGTTAGTCTCGTGATATATTGTTTAATGACAAAATATATCTTAAACTCTATGTTTAGTCGCTAATGTTCGCAGTTCTTTCTGACTACTATGCCCATTCCTTCTGACTTTTATATGTTTGAATAAAAATAAAACTTCAGTGTATACACCAGATCGTTTTATGCGTGTATCTTAACACATTTTACCAGGGCTACAGTCGGGTAATAGGGTGGGTGGGTACCTGGGTTGTAAATTTGGACTCGTCCCAGCCCTAAATGACTCGATTAATATTTGACACATTTATATAAATATAAATGATCAATAACACTGGTGCACTCAATTTTCCCCCTCTTGTTTATTGTGTCAAGTCATTTTAACATCCTGTACTTGATGTAAATGTATTACGAAGTGCTGTGACTGAGTTACTAACAGACCTTTCTCATCTACTGATATTACATGAATCTATTTGTTGTACAACAGGTGTTATTGTAGATCAATGTGAGCATACATCTCCTTTTGAGGAACTATTTAATTCTGTGATTCAGCTGGTTGTGTAGTTAATGGCTGTCAGTGTTAAAATTAAGTCCCAAGTACTAAATGAAATTGTGTATACATCCTTCGAGTTATAAGACAGTGATATAAAAACTTCAAATATTTGACGTTCATTGGAGTATGAACCTTCATAGAGTGAGGGCTAAACGTATGTTACAAACTCCGAAAGTTTAGCTCTCACTCTATGAAGGTTCATACTCCAATGAACTCAAACAAAGTGACAGTCAGTTCTTAAATATGTACATTTAGATATTCACAATGGAGTCTGTCAATGGTATCAGAGAGAGTATCAGCCTGGTAAGCAGGTCAGTGGTTTGGATCACCTGGATGCTTCATACCAAAATATTGTAAAAGCTGGTACTCCTTGCTCACCCTGCCTGGCACTCTGCATTATGGGTCTTGAAACAAGGACTGGTCATTTGGAGTCGGTATACTGTGTCTGAGTGGGGTATCCATGTTAAACTGTGGCATGGTATCTGTGTCAGAACTACAAAACCGGCTGTAAGTCCGGACAAGTACAAGCAGACTCACACATGCACGTCACTATACATGTGAAATAATCTTGGAACGCAATGTTATATGCCATTTCACCTAACCTTTTAATGGGCAAGTAAAGTTAACATGGCAACTTCTCAGATTGTAATACTTTAGGGCATACTTAATCACAAACCCTTGACCATAATCAAATTTGAAAAACGAAAATAGCATAAAACAAACAGTCATAAAGTCGGCTGAGTGTACAGTAATTCATTATATGTCAGAGTAAAATACAGTCCCGGTGGAGTATTAGAGACGTCTCCAAAGCTACAGATAAGCAGCGTATGTGTGTAAGATACCAAAAAAAAATATCCAAAACCCAATTACTTTCAATCTACTTGCGTACAGAACGCATGCATTGAATGAAATACTCAAATGTAAAAAAAACAGCTAGCCTAAATACCCAGTGAAGCTTTTTCAGCATGCGTACAAAGAAGCTAATTTCTGAAACTCAATTCAAGCTAATTTACTTTCTGAGTCAAGCCTATATATTTAGAACAGTTATATACGAGGGGTGTTCATTAAAGATTTCCCCTGACCCACTTCCGATGGACCTAGTGGAATGAAACTTGGCATAGGTATTAGTCTTTCTCCACATAGGAACCACCAAGAGTTACACACTTCTCCCATCGTTTTATGCAACTATGGAGACCTCGCTTGTAAAAGCCCTCATTTTGCATCTCAAACCAGGACTTGACTTCAGAAATCAGTGTTTCATCATCTGTGAAACGTTTTCCCTTCAAAAATGACTTCATGGTTGGAAAGAGGTGGAAGTCAGATGGTGCAAGGTCAGGAGAGTAAGGAGGATGTGGAAGGATTTCATAGCCACAGGACCGCGCTTCTGTCTGGGCAACATGAGAGTTGTGTACTGGAGCATTGTCTTGCAGGAGACGGACACCCTTGGTCAGCATGCCATGGCTCTTAAGCTTGATAGCGTCCCGCAATTTCCGCAGCAGTGAAGCATAATAACCTCCTGTAATTGTGGTACCCTTTGCCAAGAAATCCATCATCACTCCTCCGTGCTGGTCCCAAAACACCGTGAGCATGACCTTGCCTGCAGAGGGTTGGACACGTGCCTTCTTTGGGGGTGGTGACTTCCATTGCATCGACTGAACTTTAGTCTCAGGATCACAGTGATGGACCCATGTTTCATCCTGTGTGATAAGTCTGTCAAAAAAGTTTGCCTGGTTTTTTTGGCACATGTCCAAAAGATCCTTTGAGCAAATGACTCGTTCCTGCTTTTGGAAAGGTGTGAGCAACCTGGGAATCCATCGTGCAGACACCTTATGCATGTTAAAATAGTCATGGATGATTTTTTCCACACTCTACACTGATCTTGACCTCTTGTGCTAACTGGCGAACAGTTATACGTCGGTCTGCCGAAATGGCGGTCTCCACTTGATGGATAGTGTCCTCATCAATGGCTGAATGGGGGCGACCAGGAATGGCAGCTGTTTCCACAGATGTCTGACCATACTTGAACTGGCGATGCCAGTGTTTAACGACGTCATTTGATGGGGCATCTTCCCCATAAGTTGCTTTCATTTCATCGAAAGTTTCTTTTGGTGTGCAACCTTTCAAATATAAAAACCTAATCACTGCTCGGTATTCTACTGGCTCCATTGTCACACCCTACTCGATCATAACACCTGTAAAAGTGGTAAGATTAATAGTTCGGTGCTGCAAATTCAGACATAACCCATAGATACATGTATCATTACACATGTGAAATTTCAACCAAATATGATAACCCTAAGTGGTTTAGGGGAAATCTTTAATGAACACCCCTCGTACATCTAAAATATTATTTCATTTTTTAAAATCTTAAAATGTTCCCTAACTTTGGGAAAAACTCAAGAGAGTGATGAATAGATGAAAGAAAAAGTAATGAAAAATGTAATTACCCAATTAAAATAGAAACCCTAGAGTAAAACCTCAATTGCTCAAAAAGTTATCTGGAGCTCTGCGTCTCGTTACTTACACTGTACCAGGATTGTGTATTGCACAAACTGATCAATAATGAGATCCTGTGAGCATTCCTATAATTCCATGCTTGTAAAAGAAGCTTGTGGTATGAAGCGACTAATGGGATCTGGTGGTCTGGCTCGCTGACACATATCATCGTATCCCAACTGAGTAGATCAATGCCCATGTTGTTCAAAAGTCACCCATTTCAAAACCTGGGTTTGGAAGATGAGCTTGTTACTGATTCCCATCTGACATGTGAACATCTGGGTGAGAACAGGTCTTCAGCAACCCATGTTTGCTGTAATTATGCTGGTCGTAAGAGGCGACTAAAGGGATCAGGTGGTCAGGCTCGCTGACGCATGTCATTGTATCCCAACTGCGTACCTTGAAGGCGTTGATCCTTGATCACAATATCAATCACTGGATTGTCTGGTCCAGGCTTGATTATTTACAGACTGGCGTTATATAGCTGGAATATTTTGCAGCGTTAAACAACAAACAAACCATCTTTTAGGTTACTTTGGAATATGGTTGTACCTACCATTCATTCAGTTGCTGTAGCACCTTAACCTGTATGGTCCTGGGACTTGGATAATTCCTGGGTGATTCCTGGATTTCGTGAGCTTTGAAGAAATGGCAGTGAAGAGCTGCTTCTGTTTTCACAAATACCTCTTGATATCTAGTTATTAAATATTCTTGGAGGTATGAAAACTTCAACCTTAAGTTCAGAATATATTGAATGATTTATTTGCATTTGTACACAATGTTCAGAATGGTACTGTCATGCAGTGAAGCGAGTTCTATTTAAGATCGCAAAACAAGCAGGAGTTTTCATCTTGACATTACATCAGCACATGAATGGCGCCTGGATGTTCTTAAAACCTTCCTGCGTTCTTCCGATATGTAATGATTCTTTGACCTTGTGACTGCTTCTATTGTTGCAAGTACTTGCAGAGTTTCACTTGTTATTGGCAAAATGCTGTGGTCAAAGTAAGTGCAAAGATCCAGTAAGAATACAAATCCTGAATGTAGTGCAAAGAGTAACATATTAACACTACATGTTGCTCAGATAACAAATTTCACTTGTCAATGCACAATGATAAAGTTAACAACTTAAGCCCCCTTTACACAGGGCTGCGACCTTTGTGCCACCTTTGAGCAATCAAAAACTGGCCGGGATGTTCAATGGTCGCCTAAACCCAGAAAATTCTGATTCTATGTAACTGCTCCAGGAGTTGTTAAGCGTCTGCAACACTGCAGATACAAGCCCTCTATTTATAGGCAGGCTGAGGAGGCATTACATGTAAACCAAAGGAGGCAGAAAAGAGGCAGAAGCATTGCCATGGTGTCTCAATGGTTGCCGTGCTCGCCGAATTGAGGCACGGCTGTCGCCACAGTCATCGTTCAATGCACGCTGTTGGTCGCCCAAAGGAGGCACAAGGGAGGCAGAAGCATCACCCAGATTGACGGGGAAAATTACCTGGCGACAATTGGGCGACCACTGTGCCTTCATTCTGCAACAACGGCAATGCTTGTGCCTCCTTTGAGCCACCTTTGAACAACCAATGTCTTCGGCGACCTTTGTGCGACTGTTTTGAACATGTTCAAAAATTCACGGCGTCCATGGTGATGTCTGAAAATCCTGTGTACCACCTTTGAACGACCTAGGCAACCATTCTGCCTCCTTTGAGCCTCCAACGATGACCTGGCAAATTTTATGGTCGAACACTGGAGGCACGAAGGTCGCCATCCTGTGTAAAGGCCCCATTTGGGATATTATATAAATCAGAATATTTATTGTATCGGTATTCTTAACCTGATACCACCTGGAGTATATTAGAAACCCCTCAGGGACATTAGACAGCGTTGTCTTCCAGACAAATGTCCACTTCAAGGACCTAGCTAGCTATATTAGAAACAAAACATGACAGATGATGAATATGTGACACTTTTTCATGGATGACAAGTGCATTTTCCTTTGTATCAACAAATTCAGGGTCCCTTTTCTTGATGACCCATATTGAGTAAATATATATACATGCTGATGTGTTCACATGAGATTGGATTAACGTAGAAATATACAACATCCTGACCATCCTGTCTCCATACTACATCAATCACTGGTAAAGAAGGAAACTTCAAGAAACCACCGAAATACATAGAAAAAAAGCCAGCCACTCACAGAGACAACTTACAATTGCAAATATGATTTCTGTATTATATGAAATAATATTAAGAAAATCATGAGAGGCGAACAGTTATAACCCACCAAAGTTTCGTTCAATATTAGTATTCTCAATTTACAAAGTTCATTGCAAATAATTTCCATCGAAATGGTGAAATTTACAATGCTAAATATGCCATACCATATGATGGTAAAGAAAGTAGTCAAGAGTTATGTGAGATACACTATCACAATCATGGAAAAGCAATTGTCTATAGTTGTTTAGGCTATGCATCACAGCTAATGGCAATAAATATTTCTTAGAACACAAGGGATGCAGATCAATAATTAAATGAAAACATGATTAAGGACTGTCCAAAAATTAAAATATTGTCATGATGAGGGACAAATGATTGAAAATAGTGTGAATTTGTATTTGCCCCACACTCCACTCTTATTTGTTGTAAGAATTAAAAAGAGGATGTTTGGTGGGGAAGTCCGGATGTTTTAAGAAGGTGTTCTTCCAACATGTGTACCACTAATTATACATCTGGGGGAAACTACAAAGTTGTTAAATATGAAAATGAATATACATAAACTTCCTCCTTGTTATTGCAAGGATGACCGACCACCCAGTTCCAGGACACTACAATATAATATCTGCAACTACAGTCACTGAGGCACGTGTCAATACCTTACAATACATACAACAATACGTCAATACTCCCATTTACATTTCACTGTGTTGTTTTGGGTTGTTTTTTGAGTGGCTTCTCGTTATTCCAATCAATATATGCATATAATCACATAAAAAACCAATACATAATTTAAAATTCTATCCTCAACATATACAATCCTACATGAAACAAATAAATGAAAAGACTTACGCCAACCAGGGTGAAAACCTTGCACAATGTCAGTCCATGCCTTGTCAGAACAACCTACTAATTCTGGCTGACTGAAAATTATTACCTTGCCCTGGTATTTAAACTGCCCCCCACCCCCCAATTACCCAAGCTGCCCTGACCTCCCTATTGTTACACCAATTAACTCCCAGCTATCAGCAGTACCTTGTCATAGTTCGCTGATATCTAACCTGTCCCATAGTATTACCTGACAGTATCAAACAACAACACCAAGCTGCCCTGACCTACCTATTGTTACACCAATTAACTCCCAGCTATCAGCTGTACCTAGTCATAGTTCGCTGATATCTAACCCGTCCCATAGTATTACCTGACAGTATCAAACAACAACACCAAGCTAATATACTAATTTAACCAAACTGTAATACCTCTATCTAAAGTCCTAACATTTAATTAATATACACAAAATTATCTGAGATGTTGGACTGTGATAGTGTGTGTGATCTTAACAATCACCTGGTGTGACTATCTAGATAGGATTTCATTAGGGTTTGTGATTTTAAATTAATCAATGTGGGAAATGTTTTCAGGTCAACACAGTGGTTAAAAAACTGTAACTGTAATGAAACTCACTTGGCATGTTTCCCCATTGTATGATGATGGTGACAATTTCATATGTAATTTGCTAGCAAAGTGCATAAATAACAATATAATTAATAGAATATCTTGTTGCTGTAAACTACGTCTCAATTTGTAATGTAAAGTTGGTTTGATTGCAAATTGCACAAATTACAACAAATGTTAAATACTTTGTCAACTGGCCACTCATGCCACACCAAAAGGGTATTTTGCATCAGTGTGATTCTAAATGAACATGGTTAAGATTTTAAGATGAGAACAAAACATTAAAAAAAATAAATTCATTGAGTAGAAGTGGCAAGAGATTAGCTGTGTACTTGACCAATTTGTTGTTTTCAGCTGTAATTTTGAAATGATGTTCTTTAAGTCTAACATTAGGGACAGCCCTATTATAAACAGGTATAACCATACAAATGTACACAGCCCCAGACTAGTACATACAGCATGAAACAATACCTTTCTTCACATGAAAGGGAAATCTGATAAAAATATGCAATATAAAACTATCTAAATCAATAAGGCACTAGATGAACATTTAATAATACATCATTGCAAGGCGGCAAGAGAGCATATGACAGAGGGTGTTGGCAAATTGAAACATGTTTAATTTGGCAATAGATAGCCATATTTCTGTACCTTAGTCAAAAGACATTATTTGTAAAACAATCTAAATATTCAAGATAAGAAGATGGCATGGAGATATTTTAAGTTTTTGTGAACGATAACAAGGCTTATCTGCACTATTCCAACAGTGAAAATAGAGTTATAAGCAACTGGAGTGTTTACGCACCAACGTTATGTTTGCCTAAAAATATACTGCTTAGCGCATGCAAATCAAGAGCAGATAAGTATGTTTGTAATAGAGCCTAATGCAAATTTCTTCTCTTCGATCTGTTAACACAGAACCCCAAACATGTCTCTCTGCCATTTCACAGATCAGAGTTACCTACCCTTGAACCCTAACTTTCCTCTCATCTGAAAGCCACTAAAAGCAAGGGCAGATTCAGCATTCTGAAAAGGGAAGGGGTCCAAAATATCAAAATCCTCTCCCGGTCAGTTGAAAAACGTTGAGATGGTGGTAGGGCAGGGCATGCTTTATATTTGTTTAATCAGAGTAAGTCTGATGTAGATTATGAGCACCAGGTGGATCCAATCCTGCATGTAAGATGGTTGGTATACAAGTTAGTGGTGGATCGGAGACTGATGACACGAATACTTGAAGCTAGTGTTTAAATCTCATGACAACTCTCTTGGCACATCAAGAAAGACAGGCCTGGATGCAGTCTGTCTTTGAAGTGGACAGTCCTTGCCTTAACAGCTTGTCTGTCAACACACTGGTGATGCCTGGATGCAGTCTGTCTTTGAAGTGGACAGTCCTTGCCTTAACAGCTCGTCTGTCAACACACTGGTGATGCCTGGATGCAGTCTGTCTTTGAAGTGGACAGTCCTTGCCTTAACAGCTCGTCTGTCAACACACTGGTGATGCCTGGATGCAGTCTGTCTTTGAAGTGGACAGTCCTTGCCTTAACAGCTCGTCTGTCAACACACTGCTGATGCCTGGATGCAGTCTGTCTTTGAAGTGGACAGTCCTTGCCTTAACAGCTCGTCTGTCAACACACTGGTGATGCCTGGATGCAGTCTGTCTTTGAAGTGGACAGTCCTTGCCTTAACAGCTCGTCTGTCAACACACTGGTGATGCCTGGATGCAGTCTGTCTTTGAAGTGGACAGTCCTTGCCTTAACAGCTCGTCTGTCAACACACTGCTGATGCCTGGATGCAGTCTGTCTTTGAAGTGGACAGTCCTTGCCTTAACAGCTCGTCTGTCAACACACTGGTGATGCCTGGATGCAGTCTGTCTTTGAAGTGGACAGTCCTTGCCTTAACAGCTCGTCTGTCAACACACTGGTGATGCCTGGATGCAGTCTGTCTTTGAAGTGGACAGTCCTTGCCTTAACAGCTTGTCTGTCAACACACTGGTGATGCCTGGATGCAGTCTGTCTTTGAAGTGGACAGTCCTTGCCTTAACAGCTCGTCTGTCAACACACTGGTGATGCCTGGATGCAGTCTGTCTTTGAAGAGGACAGTCCTTGCCTTAACAGCTCGTCTGTCAACACACTGCTGATGCCTGGATGCAGTCTGTCTTTGAAGTTGACAGTCCTTGCCTTAACAGCTTGTCTGTCAACACACTGGTGATGCCTGGATGCAGTCTGTCTTTGAAGTGGACAGTCCTTGCCTTAACAGCTTGTCTGTCAACACACTGGTGATGCCTGGATGCAGTCTGTCTTTGAAGTGGACAGTCCTTGCCTTAACAGCTTGTCTGTCAACACACTGCTGATGCCTGGATGCAGTCTGTCTTTGAAGTGGACAGTCCTTGCCTTAACAGCTCGTCTGTCAACACACTGCTGATGCCTGGATGCAGTCTGTCTTTGAAGTGGACAGTCCTTGCCTTAACAGCTCGTCTGTCAACACACTGCTGATGCCTGGAATGTGATAAGCTCTGGCCTCCAGTGACAAACTGGTGATCAACCTGTAAAACTTGAACTTCCTGTCCAATATAGGACTGGAGTGGGTTGATCCCATCTTGTGGATGTAGTGTGCCATTGTGGTGTAGAAGTCCTCCCAACCCTGTAGAGTCAACAACCAGGTGATGAGAGGGAACTGAATCTCTTGCTTTATCTGCCGCGTTTTTGCATGTGAGAATATTGTGAACTCTGTTCACGTGCATGGTTCTTCTGCACTCATGTCAGTGTCCCACATGCCTGTAGGACGGGTCAGTCTAGGCTTGCTTAGGAACCTACTCCTATGCTGGGTGTCCTTGTTGCCACTGCAATATCGGCTAGATCAAGTTTTTATATCACCCCACTCAATGACAACCATTCGTCGAGACAAGCATTTAATGTTTCCCTCAGTATATGACCAAACAAAGTACATACACAGTGAGATTCCAGATAGTTGATGTGCAAGACTTCTCTGCTCATTGAGCAAAACCCTGGCAAGATCACAAGGTTTTGGGATTGTGGATGTCTTTAATGGACGTATATTGATATGATACCCAAAACAGAGTGTATTCTAGACTCACAGGTCTGCCCCGCCTACATGAGGAGCGACATTCCCTACTGAAAACCACTCAACAATGGCTCTTTGGATTGTATTTAACATACACTCCATTGAGATGTGGTCCATCGCATGTGTATTCAGATTTGCTTGTCCATAAAGAAGGTTGATCAAGGTGTGGGATAAAAGAGATGCTCACAACATCTGCCACTCACAGAAGCAGCCTCTCAAAATCCACATGAATTCTCCCTGTAAAGGTGAAAAGACATTACATGAGTTGAAGGCGTGTCCGATGCCAACCCATTGAAAACGCTGTAATCAACGAGCGATTGTGTCACCCTCCAGAAGGGAACAAAATCATAAAAATGCATAAAGCAACACAACAAATCGAGGCAGCATCATATGTATGAACCTTCAAAGAAAGGATAGCCCAACATGTTACAATAACAACAAATTGTGCGTCCAATGTTAAAGAATAATGAAATGGGCTTCGAAACGTCTGTTGAAGCAAGATGGGAGAGAAAGGGCTTTAAGGGGTTGTAACTCTGCTTGGTGACCTGGTGGAGAGGCATGTATTGGTTCTGGGCTGTGGGATGAAAGTGACAAGGAATTTGCAATAGGTTATATCAAGATAAGAAATAATTTTAACTCTTATTGAAAAAATAATAAGGCAACATTGTGAATATAAAATTTGGGAGATTAAAATGCAATATCAAAGAGTATTTATTTTTGTAAAAATCAGACAATCAAGATAATAATTTTTCCAGATATTCCTCATTGCTGCAGTTTGGACTCAGCACCTCTGTGATATGAAATACACTGCATGATGGCATTAACCATATCTGCCAAGTCCAAGCTGCAGCAATGAGGAATACCTGGAATAATTACATAGTCCAACCAAACATTCTGCATAAGAGTCACATCTGACTGTCGGGACACACTGTTTGCAGGTATTGGTTTTGGGATTTGAGTCTATGTAGTTTATCCAGATTCCCGATGGTTAAATCTGACTCGATTGCCGAATGACGAGGGCAACGCCATGTTTGTTTCTAAACACTGAAAGTAGTCCCTACTTGACCTTTGATATTTGCATCTCTATCCGCATATGACTCAAACGGATATCATTTTTATCTGTTGGCTTTATCCTACCGAGAAACCTACACATATAATGACATATAATGTGTAGGTTTCTCGGTAGGATAAAGCCAACAGATAAAAACGATATCCGTTTGGGTCATATGCGGATAGAGATGCAAATATCAAAGGTCAAGTAGGGACTACTTTCAGTGTTTAGAAACAAACATGGCGTTGCCCTTGTCATTTGGCAATCGAGTCAGAATTAACCATCGGGAATCTGGATAAACTACAGGGATAATTGCTATCATTATCAAAAGGACAGTCTAATGTACTGAAAATCAGTGTCTAACTGTGACGTAGCTAAGGCATTTTATAAGTTTTGGCAACTTTTGGATATAAATTTCGAAACAATTTTGCGAGGGCACTAGGCCTAGCCAAGCGGGATCAGTAGCCATATCTGTGCTTGTAGACCTCTGCGGGTTGAAACCTTTTCCACTAATTAAAATAGATGGATTTGGCCGAAAAAGGTTTGAATTGTTAAACACTATGTATTTAGCTCGCCAAGGCTCGCTAAATACAATGTTTAATCCTAATGCAGGATATTTACCATCCCCAAACACACTCGCGTGATAACCTCTATGTACGTCGAAGCCAGAAAGAATTTCTGTAACTCACTGCTTTCATTACTATTTCAGCTGTTAGGGTTGGTCAGTTGAGAGGGGAAATTATGACTGCAAATAGCCTTTGTTTCCATCATAGTAATGTCAAGTCCAGAGAACATGATGACACAGAACATTTGATCAATTAGTATTTAAAAAGTTAACAACTACCTTTTGTTGAAATTTTCATTATTTTTATTTTCTAAATTCATCAAAGATCATGAAGATAAAGCTGTGAGGTATCTATATTTTCTACATCTTTCCGAGGCAAGTGAGTTAACTGATAATAAAAGTCCAGTTTTCACCCTAGCCGAACTAGGCTGGAATTACTGGGCTCGACCGTAGCGTCACCAGTGGCTATTACCAGTTAACTCTCTTGCCTCGGGAAGATAAATTTTCTACTAAACTTGGTTTTTCACTCCAGTGGGTCAAATATGTAAACTGAAAAATCAAAACAGTACTATTGTCATCTAATATACACAGATGCCTTGACAAAATATTTTGTGACTCACATTTGTTTTACATTTTTATAAACAAATAATTTTATTGTGGAGTAATAATTGCATTTCCAATATGATTTCTTTATTAAATTTTATATCATAATTATTCTAAAAATCCTCTGTGGGATGATTTATTATGAGTTTAGGTTTCTTAGATGTGAAAAACTTGAACGTTCACAGATGAACATACTAGCATGGGAAAAGCACAGTACAAATAGACTGCTATTGCTGTTTGATTCAGCCTGCATCAAGTAACCCTGGCAGCTGTATAGCTGAATACAATAAAGAAAAAGTCAAAGAATGAAGTCAAACTCAGGAATTGCAACACAGAAGTAAAGACCATGAAGAAGACACGATTGCAGGCTGTGGTAGATCTGAGACGATGGTTTGGGTGGAAATTGTATGAGGATCCACTCAAAACACCCCACACACCATGTTGGCTGGCAATGCTCGGTCTGCAACAACAAGCACTCAAATTACTTCCAACCACCAGCAAATATTAAAGTGGGTCATCCCTAAAAGTTCATTTTCCTTCTTTCTATATACAGACACTGCTTGCACCTGAAACTCACCCATCTGTTTAGTTAGAGAGACACTGCTAGCACCTGACAGTCACATATCTGTTTAGTAAGAGAGACACTGCTAGCACCTGACACTCACCCATCTGTTCAGTTAGAGAGACACTCCTGGCACCCGACACTCACCCATCTGTTCAGTTAGAGAGACACTGCTAGCACCTGACACTCACCTATCTGTTCAGTTAGAGAGACACTGCTAGCACCTGACACTCACCCATCTGTTCAGTTAGAGAGACGCTGCTAGCACCTGACACTCACCCATCTGTTCAGTTAGAGAGACACTGCTTGCACCTGACACTCACCCATCTGTTCAGTTAGAGAGACACTGCTAGCACCTGACACTCACCCATCTGTTCAGTTAGAGAGACACTGCTAGCACCTGACACTCACCCATATGTTCAGTTAGAGAGACACTGCTAGCACCTGACACTCACCCATCTGTTCTGTTAGAGAAACACTGCTGGCACCTGACACTCACCCATCTGTTCAGTTAGAGAGACACTGCTAGCACCTGACACTCACCCATCTGTTTAGTTAGAGAGACACTGCTAGCACCTGAGCCTCACCCATCCGTTCAGTTAGAGAGACACTGCTAGCACTTGACACTCACCCATCTGTTCAGTTAGAGAGACACTGCTAGCACCTGACACTCACCTATCTGTTTAGTTAGACACTGCTAGCACCTGACACTCACCCATCTGTTCAGTTAGAGAGACACTGCTAGCACCTGACACCTACCCATCTGTTTAGTTAGAGAGACACTGCTAGCACCGGACACTCACCTATCTGTTCAGTTAGAGAGACACTGCTTGCACCTGACACTCACCTATCTGTTTAGGGTAGGGCAGTTTGAGGTCTTTCATTATGTTGATGAACTGCTGCTTGGGTTTTGTGAGGCGGGGGTTGTACTGGCGCTCCTCAGCTACTGTGGTCACTGTTTGACCTGCAAATTTAGCAACATCCATGGTAAGTTCTGAATCTGATATACATCTGACATTGTTGAGGTGTTCGGATGATATATATATATCCCCTATTGCACCAGTTCAAAATCTCATACACATGTATCAACCTGAAACATCTGCTATCTCATGTTGATGAAACATATCATTGGGAAGGCCACACTTGCTTTACAGATTTGCTGACTCAAAATTTTGTTGAAATGGATTTTTTTTTTTTTCATAACTGGGCATGCATGTTTCAAAGTCAACCATGTCTACCACTCTATCAACTGCATAATGCCAATTGCTTATTGTGAAATTTTACAAAAGGTAGTTCGGATTATAAACATATTTACAACTAATAATTTCAGAGAAGCTTACAGAGCCAAAACATGCATTTTGAGAAAATACAAGAGCCTGGTAATAACAAGGTCAAACCATATTTTATAAGGCTAAAAGAAATAATAGTCTTGGTTCTCAGGCACCATGCCTCATTGCACTTTTCAGTTTTATTTCCATTCTATAAAAAAAATATAAATCGGTAAATATTCCACCAAATATTGTGATTTGCCGATCAGTATGTACACATTTTGCCTAAATTAGTGTAAACAAAATTGAAATCTTGGACAAAAGTAATATAATGGATTACAACCATAAGTCCAGATACACTAGAACACTTTCATTGCCTCATAGTGTAAAAGCACTAACTTGCATCATTTTTTTAAGTCTTACATTTACTACAAACATGGAGTGATTGCCATAAATAGATTTTTCAATAGGAACGTGTGGTGGCCATATTGAAATTTGATTCGCAACTCTTGACCATATTCACATGTCATCATGGACACATCACTGGAGGAATTTCAGCTTCACTGGTTCAGTGGTTTCTGAGGAGCTGTTTACAACGGATGCGTGACACCGGACAAACAGGCCATGACATAAGCTCACGACATAAGTTCACGTGACAGATCCACATGGGAATCAACTGCACAACAAGGACAACCAATACAAATCATTCTTACTTCTTCACAGGACTGCATTTTACCTTAGGACATACTAGGAAGCGATGGCGGTTTTGTCTGCATGTGCACCAGCTTCCAGTCTTACAATAACAGTCCTTGTTGTAGCCCCTTAATGCCAAGAGCCAGACAGGGAAACAACAAGTACCATCTTTTAACGTCTTTTTGTACACTAGTGCATCTACAGTCTTTTGGCTGCTTCCTTACATTTGACTTTCTTGACCGACTCAGCTAACTTGAGAAAAGCCGACAGTGAAAGGGAAGAGACCAGCTCACATCTATTATTGTCTGTACATCGTACTTCACAGCACTTCCAACAAAGAGTGAGGCCATAAACTGTCAGCACAGCACCTCCTGTAATATTGACTGGGCTGATGACGATGCCATCCCAAGTCCCACAACAACCCCCAACCAAGACTTACACGAGGAACAAAACAACAAGGTTACTGGAAAAAGACTTTTTAAAAAACAGCTGAATTACAACATTCTTACAACTTGAAAATACTGAAAACTACCTAGAACGATAGTATGAAAACCAAAGTGCTGGAGAAAAGAAACTCAGAATAAAAGTTGATGCTTCCTCTAGCACACACAGTAACAAAGTGTTTCCCAGCCTTTCACATGCAAAAGCTGCAGGCAGCTATGTCCTCATATGGCTATGTAATATTCACCCTCTGAAGCCTTTAAAAGGCGCCCAGTGACAGTAGAACTATAAAAATGGATGACTTTTAAAAAACAGCTGAATTACAACTTGAAAATACTGAAAACTACCTAGAATGATAGTACTCATGTACAGTTGACAGTGAAGAGGAGTTCTGTTGAAAATCTGAAGATTTTGTAATAGTGTGATTACAGCAAAAAATACTGAGGTTCACGTTTTAGCACATAAATCACATTGCAACATATTGCAATACAGAGAGCTGTGTGGAGATATATATTGCAATATGTACACACATGTACAATGAAGTCCCAAGGTAGTTCAACATTTGTTTTGTGTTGGACGCTGCAGTCAGCAATATTTCAGCTACAACACAGCTGCCTGTAAACAACAAAGTCTGGGCCAGGCAAACCAGAGGCTGACATTATGTACAGCATCCCCACTGACAGTAGGACATGCAGTCAACCAAGCCACTCAGCTGGACAACACATTCCCGTGTTAGTGAGTTGGGTTTAACGCCGCTTTTAACAGTATTCCAGTTAAATCACGGCGTGTCAGCTTAATGTGGGAGGAAAGCCCGAAGTGATGCAGGTCTCAGATGTTTACCACTTGGGTGAAACCCACGAGCATGGGTATGGTGCTGACAAACCTAGAAACATAATCGGGGAGAGCCTGGATTCGAACCCACAGTCATAGGTTTCTGGCGTGCCCAAGGGACGCAACTCTGCACAGCGAATCGCGGCGCCTTAGACGACTGGGCCACCAGTGCCCCCCACACATTCCAATTTAGATCAAATGTATTGTAACAGTATGATGAGCATCTTCAGGGTGCTGGACAACTGAGAAGCACTGATAGTCTGATCAATCAGTACACACCTATGACACAAGTACAAATGTCAGACCAGTCATCCGCACAGATATGAATTCACATAACTGGGAGTCCAGGGCCTTGTTAATTAAATCAGAGGGCAAACATGCAAGCTGAGACAATCTATCTAACGGTCTCTGATGCAAGCAACAACAAGCCTCTTGCAAAATTAGCTCCTGACGTGATGAACAAAGGCTGATTGATGCTGTAGACAGCAATACTCCAGTTCTCCATAGTGAGGGACCACATTTGCTCATCCCAGATTTTAGTTATTTTTCCGATTATTCACTACATAGGGTTCTTTTTCTTAAATACTTTTAGTAATGATGAACACAATGCTACAAATGCTGCAGCTAATGGTATCGGACCAGTTTCCTTCTTAATTTCAACTTCAAATTGTTCACAAAAATGCTGTTTAGTAGTGTCACTGAAGCTTTGAAGTCCTGACCCCAGGTCTAGTATATGTGGCATACTCTGGCATCTACTACTTCTGGAGTTGACAGTTTCGACATAATCATTAGCTCACCGTCTGTGTGTCCGGGTGTGCTGCAGACCTCCAACTCATGGGCACCAAACTTAATCAGATCTCCCTCCCTCAGCTTGATATCAGCAGCAGCTTTGCTGATCTCCGCTATCATGCTCTTACATGTGGGCAGTCGTTTCTTGATCTCCCCTGTTCCCGTGATGTGGTCAGCATGGACATGAGACCAGCTCACATCTATTATTGTCTGTACATCGTACTTCACAGCACTTCCAACAAAGAGTGAGGCCATAAACTGTCAGCACAGCACCTCCTGTAATATTGACTGGGCTGACGACGATGCCATCCCAAGTCCCACAACAACCCCCAACCAAGACTTACACGAGGAACAAAACAACAAGGTTACTGGAAAAAGACTTTTTAAAAAACAGCTGAATTACAACATTCTTACAACTTGAAAATACTGAAAACTACCTAGAACGATAGTATGAAAACCAAAGTGCTGGAGAAAAGAAACTCAGAATAAAAGTTGATGCTTCCTCTAGCACACACAGTAACAAAGTGTTTCCCAGCCTTTCACATGCAAAAGCTGCAGGCAGCTATGTCCTCATATGGCTATGTAATATTCACCCTCTGAAGATTTAAAAGGCGCCCAGTGACAGTAGAACTATAAAAATGGATGACTTTTAAAAAACAGCTGAATTACAACTTGAAAATACTGAAAACTACCTAGAATGATAGTACTCATGTACAGTTGACAGTGAAGAGGAGTTCTGTTGAAAATCTGAAGATTTCGTAATAGTGTGATTACAGCAAAAAATACTGAGGTTCACGTTTTAGCACATAAATCACATTGCAACATATTGCAATACAGAGAGCTGTGTGGAGATATATATTGCAAAATGTATTGGGGCCCAAATTATTCATATTTGTACTGTTCAAATGGTTCTTCATTCCATAATCCAGACTTCAGATTGCAAGATGGGTAGTATGGATAAATGAGTTGTTACGTCATTAATATGGAATGTTAATGTTAACAGCGTGAAGTGTGAGCTGTTAACATGGTTTATTTCTTCTGTGACTGTATCGATAAATATCAATAGGGCTGAAGTCTCTATTTCAGTATACCGGTATACCAGTGATATCGCACACCCCTAAAATACAGGATAAAGCCAATGATAATACTAGAGGTCTGGTATTATTGTGCATATATATAGAGAGAATACTACACTTATTCTCGTTAGATACCATTTTTACGAAATGAGTGGACTTTCTATGGTATCTGACCGAGCGAAAGTTCACCAGTTTTGTAACAATGGTATCTAACAAGAATGAGTGTGGTATTATTTTTATTACCCACATCAAATATGTATTTTAGTCTAAATACATAAAAACTTTCTTTCCTTGACAGACCAAACTGAAACCGGTTGCAAATCTGGTTGCACATGAATAATCATATATGCCCAAATATGGGCATTGTTGACATTTCTATGCATATGCATTAACAACATGTTCCTGTTGTTGTGTGTGCAAACATGACAGCATCAACGCACAAGATCTTATATTAAGAATTTCTTTAATTTATGGTAATTCAAGCACATTGTTGTTAATACGCAGGACATCTATAAGAGAATCTATAAAGTCAAAGAGTGCCGCGCATTGAATATCGGACAAACAGTCGGTCACTCGCACTGCCGGAGTCCCTGCTGTGCAATCAAATTTTTTCAGATCCTTGATCTGTCAGTTGAATTTATATCCTGTCTGTACAATTTTGGTAGACTGAAAACAGAGTGCTCGGCAAAGACATTTATGTTAACTGTAGGACCCTATACTAAAGACTTTAAAATCAACAAACTCAACGAAGGGATGGCAAGGTCACCATCAGAGTAAGAAAAGGCAACAGTGATCTACTCACAGCGTTTTATGCTAGGGAATGTTATTGTTCGCATTTGGGATGTTTTGGGCCACAAAATCAGAAGTCAGGCACTCTTCCACTGCGTTTTCGAATTATTTGTATCGGAACTGTTCACTTTTAGTGATCTGGTCGTGCAGTCATGTACGTTCATTCATGAACAAACACCTCCCGAAACAGTGCCCCAAAATATGCATCAAGGGGGCACTGATGACACAACCGGATCATCCAACGTAAGTCCAGATATATATCCTGATTTAAATTGACTTCATTTCAGCACGCTTATCCTTTTATGTTAAATCAAATTGAAAGATGCGAAAGTGGTTAGGTGTGTCATGCTCATAGGGACCCTCGATCTATCGATCGGTAGTAGTACATTGCAAATGGATATAGCTCCATTATATAATGTCTGTAGTAGCTCTGTGCATAACTAAGCAAATTTTATGTGTGTGACTATCTTGTTTGGTTTAATAAAGTGTTCGTAAATGTCTCTCGTTCTCATGAGATTGCTTCAGTTCTGCCTTGTAGTTGCAAATAGAATGACGTCTAGCAATTTCTTTATGAATGAAAAAAAGTAGTTCCGGTGTGACAGAGGTCACGGTTAACCAATGAAAATGAATAAAATGAGGTCAACCTTTTACAACACACGTGTGATGTACAGATTTAGTTTCTTACCACCTGTATTTTCAACACATGGGTAATAAAACCATAATACTCACCATAATAAGTGCTCTGGATGCTCACAAAGGGGAGGGAAGTGTGCTTATGAAAACCATAGACAAAAAGTCAAAGATTGAGCAGTAGTCAAATGACAATGAAACTTAAGTTTTTCAATAACAGTCACTTGGTTATTATGTCACCAATTTGTGTTGCTGTTTTCTGGAAAAAGTCTTAATATACACATAAAAATATGAACGGTCACATAAATTTTCGGACGTACAAGAGGATGCTTATAAAGATTCAGTACACATTCGTTTAGAATCAGGGGCGGTTATTGGAGCCAAACCCTTTAAATGGTGAATTATGACTTATTATGACTGTCTGCAGTTACCATGGTTACTTGCCCTTTTGTTACCTAGCATAGGTCCTACTGTTTTGGCAGTAAGACAGTCTTGAGAACACAACAGACAACATAATGAAATGAGGCCTGGTGAGAAGGATGCTACCGTAACATCACTAACCTGTATAGTCGTGTGCTGGGAAGAGACGGAAATTGTCAGGAAGAGTAAAGATCTTGTTGTGTACTGAATCATACAGTGCACTGGAATCACCTGCAACATATGAACACAAGACACTTGTAGGACCATGCTAACAAGCTGAGATTAAACACTTGTCACTTGAAATAATATGTAACGCTTCGTAAACAATAAGCTTTGAAATCCTATGTGTCAAGGACTAAGTGAATAAATAGGTATAATGCTATTTCAATAACAGAGTTTCATGAAGATGATGCCACCTTGTGCTGACAGCTTCGAGTGCAGTGCTTCTCTGGTGCTTGCACCGCCCATGAAGAGACAAGAAACATTTTTCTGTGGAATATTGACTCCTCACCAGGACCAAGAAGAAAAATGCAACGGCACAATCTATTTTCTGGTAACATTGTTAAAATAGGCGCATGACTTATTGACAACCCCTTCAGTGATAATTAAATGTATTTTATTTGATGTAAGAAACTGAATCTGTGGTATCAATGCGATCCCATCAAGTGAGTTACTGGCTTCTAAGAGATGTGACAAGATAGCAGTCATAACGGCAGTCACCTTGCTGGAAGTCTGTCCGTCCACAGCCTCGCACGAGAATAGCATCTCCTGTAAACGCCATGCCTTGCTGCTGCCACACATAGGTCACACATCCTGCAAAGCAGCAGTCAGAACACAGTCAATACACACATGTACAATGAAGTCCCAAGGTAGTTCAACATTTGTTTTGTGTTGGACGCTGCAGTCAGCAATATTTCAGCTACAACACAGCTGCCTGTAAACAACAAAGTCTGGGCCAGGCAAACCAGAGGCTGACATTATGTACAGCATCCCCACTGACAGTAGGACATGCAGTCAACCAAGCCACTCAGCTGGACCACACATTCCAGTGTTAGTGAGTAGGGTTTAACGCCGCTTTTAACAGTATTCCAGTTATATCACGGCGTGTCAGCTTAATGTGGGAGGAAAGCCCGAAGTGATGCAGGTCTCAGATGTTTACCACTTGGGTGAAACCCACGAGCATGGGTATGGTGCTGACAAACCTAGAAACATAATCGGGGAGAACCGGGATTCGAACCCACAATCATAGGTTTCCGGCTTGCCCAAGGGACGCAACTCTGCACAGCAAATCGCGGCGCCTTAGACGACTGGGCCACCCGTGCCCCCCACACATTCCAATTTAGATCAAATGTATTGTAACAGTATGATGAGCATCTTCAGGGTGCTGTACAACTGAGAAGCACTGATAGTCTGATCAATCAGTACACACCTATGACAGAAGTACAAATGTCAGACCAGTCATCCGCACAGATATGAATTCACATAACTGGGAGTCCAGGGCCTTGTTAATTAAATCAAGAGCAAACATGCAAGCTGAGACAATCTATCTAACGGTCTCTGATGCAAGCAACAACAAGCCTCTTGCAAAATTAGCTCATGACGTGATGAACAAAGGCTGATTGATGCTGTAGACAGCAATACTCCAGTTCTCCATAGTGAGGGACCACATTTGCTCATCCCAGATTTTAGTTATTTTTCCGATTACTCACTACATAGGGTTCTTTTTTTAAAATACTTTTAGTAATGATGAACACAATGCTACAAATGCTGCAGCTAATGGTATAGGACCAGTTTCCTTCTTAATTTCAACTTCAAATTGTTCACAAAAATGCTGTTTAGTAGTGTCACTGAAGCTTTGAAGTCCTGAAACCAGGTCTAGTATATGTGGCATACTCTGTGGCATCTACTACTTCTGGAGTTGACAGTATCGACATATTCATTAGCTCACCGTCTGTGTGTCCGGGTGTGCTGCGGACCTCCAACTCATGGGCACCAAACTTAATCAGATCTCCCTCCCTCAGCTTGATATCAGCAGCAGCTTTGCTGATCTCCGCTATCATGCTCTTACATGTGGGCAGTCGTTTCCTGATCTCCCCTGTTCCCGTGATGTGGTCAGCATGGACATGGGTGTTCACTGAAACAATGCCTGGTCAGTATATATGTTGGTGTTCACTGAAACAATGCTTGGTCAGTATGGACATGGGTGTTCACTGAAACAATGGGTGGTCAGTATGTATGTGGGTGTTCACTGAAACAATGCGTGGTCAGTATGTATGTGGGTGTTCACTGAAACAATGCATGGTCAGTATGTACGTGGGTGTTCACTGAAACAATGCGTGGTCAGCATGGACATGGGTGTTCACTGAAACAATGCGTGGTAAGCATGGACATGGGTGTTCACTGAAACAATGCATGGTCAGTATGTACGTGGTTGTTCACTGAAACAATACGTGGTCAGTATGTACGTGGGTGTTCACTGAAACATAGCATGGTCAGTAAGTATGTGGATGTTTACTGAAACATTGCGTGGTCAGTATGTATGTGAGTGTTCACTGAAACAATGCATGGTCATTATGTACTTGGGTGTTCACTGAAACAATGCATGGTCAGTATGTACGTGGGTGTTCACTGAAACAATGCGTGGTCAGTATGTACATGGGTGTTCACTGAAACAATGCGTGGTCAGTATGTATGTGGGTGTTCACTGAAACAATGCGTGGTCAGTATGTACGTGGGTGTTCACTGAAACATTGCGTGGTCAGTAAGTATGTGGATGTTTACTGAAACATTGCGTGGTCAGTATGTATGTGGGTGTTCACCATGTTCACTGAAACAATGCATGGTCATTATGTACGTGGGTGTTCACTGTAACAATGCGTGGTCAGTATGTATGTGGGTGTTCACTGAAACAACGTATGGTCAGTATGTACATGTGTGTTCACTGAAACAACATGTGGTCAGTATGTATGTGGGTGTACACTGAAACATTACGTGGTCAGTATGTATGTGGGTGTTTACTGAAACAACATGTGGTCAGTATGTATGTGTGTGTTCACTGAAACATTACGTGGTCAGTATGTATGTGTGTGTTCACTGAAACATTACGTGGTCAGTATGTATATGGGTGTTTACTGAAACAACATGTGGTCAGTATGTACGTGTGTGTTCACTGAAACACTACGTGGTCAGTATGTATGTGGGTGTTCACTGAAACAACACATTTTGCATACAAACGATTTTGGGAATGGCAAGGATCCTCTGGGAATGCCAGTATACACGAGCCTTCACCCCTTTAACTGCCCATCTATGTTGAGGTCAGATCCCTGACAATGTGACAATCGTTTATTGTGACAATTGTCTACCTAGATACACAAGATCCCTGACATTGTGACAATTGTCTACCTAGATACACAAGATCCCTGACATTGTGACAACTGCCTGCCTAGATACACAAGATCCCTGACATTGTGACAATTGTCTGCCTAGATACACAAGATCCCTGACATTGTGACAATTGTCTGCCTAGATACACAAGATCCCTGACATTGTGACAATTGCCTGCCTAGATACACAAGATCCCTGACATTTTGACAATTGCCTGCCTAGATACACAGGATCCCTGACATTGTGACAATTGTCTGCCTAGATACACAAGGTCTCTGACATTGTGACAATTGTCTGCCTAGATACACAAGATCTCTGACATTGTGACAATTGTCTGCCTAGATACACAAGATCCCTGACATTTTGACAATTGCCTGTCTAGATGCACAGGATCTCGGACATTGTGATAGGCTCTTGCTTGCTGGATACACAAAATCTCTAACAATTAAAAGGTTGCCTGGACACACAAGATCTGACGGCAGCTTACCGGCATACACCAGATTGAGGCCCAGGTCCCTGACAATCTGACAGTCTCTTTCCACCATCTCGATGACAGGGTCGATAAGGACTGCCTCCTTGGTAGTAGTGTCTGCTAGCAAGTATGTGTAAGTAAATGACTTGTAGTCAAGCAACTGCAACAAACAAAACCCTACCTCTGTACAACATGCTTCAAGCCAAGGTGTACATCCTACTTGACATCCAACCCTGGGATAGGTCCATGTAATCATAACAGTGGCTTCAGTAACAAACTTCAGATTATGTGACAAATGCCAACTTTATCAGAGAAAGCTTCCAAACTGAAGGGTAGCATCTCCACCACTAAACAATGATTTAAGTCATTTTTTTCGCAAGCCTTTTCGCTTGTAGACGTGTTTACGTTACAGTCAATGTGCAAAATGTGATTCGTTACAGGGCTTAAAAACATCACAATAGAATAATTATTTTAGGATCAATGTGACGATACCCCGCTAAGACACTATGTTTTCACAACGTTGTGTTAATGTTGTGGATTGGTAACGGCATGATATAACATTTTCACATCGTTGATTTTACGTTATTGTGTAATGTCTTTTCACTATGTAATAACATTACACATTGTGAATATGTTGTGCATCAGACATCACCCAACGTTTAGAAACCACTTCTGAAACAACGATTAAATGTTATACAGTTTGCTTCTTGATAGACATATTTAGGAATAGAATTGCTTCATTAAAATCAACTTGATTTTGTCAGCATACCAAGGCAGTAATGCATTTCTTTCCTTTTTATTCAGCATTATGATTTTCTATGGGCGGCCATTCGGTCAAAAAATACAAAGTTGAAAAAAAGGACAAAAGTATGCAATTAAGGCCAAATGTTACGAATAGAGAACTAAATGTTACTACTAAAGGTCAAAATACAATATTAATAGTCAAATGTTACGAAAAGACATCATAAGAAAAGAAAGAACAATGTGTACGAAAGAACGTCAGTGAGCACGACAGGACGTTTTCAATAAAGAATGTCAGTGAGAATGAAAGGACGTTTTCAATAAAGAACGTCAGTGAGCAGAAAGGATGTTTTCAATAAAGAACGTCAGTGAGCACGAAAGGATGTTGACAATAAAGAACGCCAGATGGCGCTGCAATTTGTAAAACATTCCGAGTTTAATCGGCTTGTTCCGCCGTGTATATGATAACTGCATGCCGAGGTGCACAATGTATTACGTCATTCCTCGTGCACTCACCGTCTGTCGTCACACATAAATGTGGATGTAAACAAGCGAAATAAATATCCACTGACATTAATCACCTTTTCTTCCATCTTATTTCTGAAATCATTACTATTTAAATTTTACTGTACATGTACTAATCTACTAACTTTGATTTTTATGAAACTATTACCAAATTTTACGCTTTGAACATTGTCAGCAAAACACGACCTAACTGTTAACTGGGCTATTTTTTTTATGCCCTGGTTTGTTTTTAAAACATTGGTAAAATGTATTTCAAGCCATACCCATTCACGTGACTCAAACATATTCCAAAACATTTCCGGAACATGTCATGAAATGTTTTTGGGATGTTTTTACAACATTTTCGCAGGGTATGATCGTGTGATAACATTGTCACAACGTATTTCATCCTTCTAAAACAAAGTTGTTTCACATCATTGTGACAGTGTCCATGCAAAGACGTATATAGATTATATATACGTCTTTGGCCCATGGTAGTCCACAGAATAACATTGTAGGGATGTAATATTACAACATTACCACAACTTAAAATACAACGTTCTCACAACGTAAACTGCAATGTTATCACAACGTTGTGACGACATGAAAAATAATGTATCATGACATTAGCCCACAACATTGTGACAACATAAATGGGAGTCCACCAAATAACGTTGTAGGGACGTAATATACACAACATTGTGATATTGTAATAACTTGCAATTGTTCGCTGGGTACGCCAATAAACTATCATTAGTCACTGTTTGATTGGCATTCCAGCTGTTTGGTTCTATCATTAGTCAATGTCACTGATCAATAAAAGCTATAAATGCGCTTATGGTTAGCGCAACACAAATCACGAACTAGTCAAGATTTCTGGCAACAACCAGTCCCGGTGAATTGTGAGAGGTCAGTGCCCCTTTAAAAACAGTGCTCTTGTTTTACACTAACTTTTGGGGCTAGAAGTTGGAACGGAATTGTGCCAGTTTGTAACGAAAGAAAGTCCTTTACATCATTTCACAACTTGCCTGTCTAAATATGAAGTCTTGGTGTTTTCCTGCGAATGCTGACAATTTCCTGGAATTCTTGTAGACATGTGTGTTCTGGCAAGAACGATCGTGGTGCTGGCGATCTCCACACAACGGGCACCTACTGTTAGCATTACTGAAGGGAGCTATGGAGAACTGACTCGCGTATTTCTGACATGCCAGTGCCAATGGTTTTCCTGCAAGACCAAGACATTTCCTAGCTATATTATTCATGACTGGGATGAGGGGTTGTTAAACAGTAGTGCTGTTGCAAATACCGGTACAGCTCCTCTGTTGACATCGAATTCAAGCAACGTGCAATGTAAATAGTTTTACGCATGCGCAACTTTGGGGGTGTGTTTCATGTAGCCAATGAACGAAACAAGTTATCTCCATAAACCAATTGACATATATACCCATGACCTTCAAGGACATGAAGTTTGTTGCCAATCACGTTCTTTTCACAAAAGGCGTCAATATCGAAAACGGATACAGTATCATTTAAAAAAATAGAGGATTAATGGTTATGAATTGACTCGACTGACATTTAGTCCCAGAATAGAGTTATCTAGATCTATTTATAATACATAACTACAAAATAAAAATGATATAATCCGAAAGAAGCCATGCAAGAACAGTTCTCAATTTCAGGACCTATAGAACTTGGGCAATATAGACATGTCAATTCAACACTAGACTTGAGTTAGACTCCTTTTGTAATTTATTCTCCATGATCTGGGAGGGGTGCAGCCTAAAACGGCACCCCAGCAAAACGTCACAGATTTCTTGAGTGAAAACGGCACCTCATTGGGCGAAAACGGCACCTCTATCTTTAATAACGATAAGAACGATTAATATAGTAGTATATATGCTTTATTTACATGCTTTATTATGTTATGCTGTATAGTATAGGCACATGGTGGCCATATACGCTACTGAACTCGTGTGCAATCAGATTCTCGGGCTTTGGACTGAGGATTTAAACTGTTGATGTCATTACCAAATACCGTAGGTGCTTGGAACAACTTATGGTTACCACCGTAAATTAAAATCCTTCTTTGGACATTAATGATTAAAAATTACCTTCTCTGATACATCTGTCCGTTGTATATCATATATGGGATTACTTTTAAAGATGTGAAGTTTTTAATTTGACTCAGTATATATGATGTATGTACATCCCACATATTTATGCTAATAGCACAACTAAGCTAGAGGTAAAAGCAACCATTATACTCTTGTATAGATTTAGTTAATCCGTTAGCGATGTACAAAGTAGATCTCTTGTACGCACATAGGTCTGAGGCTCTGAGCACAATGCATTTGTAAAACAGCTTCAGCACGTATGTGTACTTAAAGAGCAATGCCTAAAATGTACATGTGTCTATATATTATACCATTCAGTAATGTGAACGGTCATTGTTAATGGGCACGTTAACACAGTATATATGGATGCTATGAGATAAAGTTTATTTGCGACGGTAGATAAATTAGATAAATTTTAGACATGGCCGTCTGGCCCATAGGTTTCAAAGTAAAAGGTATACCAGTGTCAAAACTAAATGATATATGCTAAAAAGTTACAGCCAACGCATGTTGTTATTAAAACTTAAAACTGCGTTCACCTGACGCAGACAGTGGCTTTAACGAGGTATACACATAATTAAGAATACGGTATATGTCATGGCAGTACCATTTAACAAGGCGTATTCATAATTAGGAGTAACCGAAGATAAATGTCACTTTCGATTATGTAAGCTTTGTTCATAATATAAGTATCTTCAGACTGATTTCAATAGTTTTTTGTAATTGTTTGTTTGTCATCTCTCAGCTCATGAGACATTTGTATATCACTCAGTATACATAATTATTGTTTAATACCACACACTATTGTGATAACTGCTTCTTTTATGGAAACTGTAAATGTTCTGTATGACTTTGTACTTTATATATGAAAGTTAAACATAAGTGAGATTTCTTATTTTAAATGTTAATTGATGACTGTCGAGATATCCCAAAATAGTGAGTGAGTATGGTTTTACACCGCTTTCAGCAATATTCCATCAATATGACGGCGGGGGACACCGAAAAATGGGCTTCACACATTGTTCCCATGTGGGGAATCTAACCCGGGTCTTCGGCGTGACGAGCCAACGCTTTAACCACTAGGCTACCCGACCGCCCCTATCCCCAAATAAAGGAGCTGGCCATAGACACTTTGTTTGGTTTCTTTGAAGGTGGTGCCCGATCACGAGCTGATTCCCCAAGGCTAATTCTAGATATTATGACGGTTTGAATACAGAAGTTTATAAACCATCATAATACTATCAACGCTGGTCGATTATTGGGGATTGTCTAGTGCGTCCACCATGGGTTCCGCAACATCTGTGGCGGCATCAACACGACGACGGCGGCGGCGACACTTATTTAATCAAACAAATTAAATTTACGATAAATCAATTCTTCCAAAATGTTTCATCACAGGCATGTTTAACACAGTATAAACAATTCTGGCTTCAAGTCATTCCCTGTTTTACATCTTCTACCAAGTTTTTGACTACTATATGCGATTACCTCTTTACACACTGAATTAGATAAACACCCTTTACATAGTAAATGGCCGCAGTAGCCTCTTCTGCCATGGTCACCGAGCTAACTGTTATGATGAACCGACCCGGCACGTAGGCACACTCTCCTTCCTATCATTGCGATAAACTGTCATGCAATTCAACGTTTAAATAGAACTAAAACTGAACCATAGGCGAACAATTACAAATAGACCACGGCGGCATGGTCTCCGCGAATAGACGTAATGGCCGATAGCGTGTACAGTGGCGTACAACCAAATAATACAATGCAAATCTAGGTCGAGTCCAGGTTTGTGACTATGTCTAGTCTATATACCAGCGTCTAGATGCTATCAATTAATCATTTAGCGAATAGATTTGGCGATAATAGTTCTATTGGGCTTATGGGTAATTGAATGGGAATACATTCATTGTCAATGTGTTCAAAGTGCTTTATCTTTTGGGTTAAAGTGAAATATGGTGTATAAATGAAGTCAATTTATGAAAAACATCAAGCATACTGAAGGCCTGGGTTCTATTCCCCACATGGGTACATTGTGCGATGCCCATTTCTGGTGTCCCCTGCCGTGATACTGCCGGATGATTGCTATAAGCGGCACAAAGCCATACATTCAGTTACCTGTCGTTGAACATACAATTGAATAGAATTCGGCTGTATAACATACATGTACTTTTGATAGTGGTCTCTCTCTCTATAGAGAGAGAGAGAGTAGATTACTGCAAGTCTCTGGGCTCCTTTTTTTATATATTTTATTAAGATAATTTAACAAATGTTGTTGGGGTTTGTTTCAAGTAAAATATGTTCATTTCAGACAGACGGACAGACATTGTCAGAGACTATAGATGTTAGTCCAAAACATTTGCGGTAAGTAAAAAAACAGACAGCGATCATTTCGTGAGGATCATGTAATACTCTGAGTACACACCAGTCAACGGCTGAAAGTGAATTTTTCTATTCAGGATTTTTTAGTTAGTTAGACTTGAGATTTCCAAGGCAACAAGTTGGAGTCATGTGGACCTAAAGTTGGGTTCAGTTCCGAAACACAACTCATAAGCAGCTAAATATTTATTGTGTGAAACCTTGCAAACACATTAGACAGACCTGAGCGTGTGTCCTTTGATCTGTACATTAACAGAAGGCTCTAACAAACAATACATGTTAGTCACTAGAATCTATATAAATCTTTACTCCTTGTTATTCATTACAGGTGATACATCGGGCTAACTGCAAGAAATTAATCAAAATTAGGGTTAACCCTTTAGTCCCGACAAACGGCAATTTTAAACTGTGAATTAACATGTCAAACACTGGGTGCGGTCAACATAATAACCATCATCTCAGTTTTCTCATTTGTGTGTTTGTTATTCCAGCTGTAAATAACAGAAGAGGCTATTCAGTGATTGACATCATGAGCATCGATCTACGCAATTGGGATACGATGACATGCTTCAGCCAAGGTAGCGAACCTGACCACCTGATCCCGTCAGTCAATTATCTCAGTCTTACAGTCACCCTTGACTCTTCGTCATTTCATATGAAAATGCAACTGGATTTTTTATAGAAAACATTTTTACTTGTGAAAATTAACTTGAACAAAAAATGAATAATCTTATTTGCCCACCCCCCTGTCAAAAAAAGTTAACTTGGAAATATATGCAAAACTGGACACAACCCCTTTCCTTCTAGACTAAATGCATGTAGCCGTTGATCACGAAAATTACAAGTAACCCAGAAATACAAATCACAAGCTGAATGGAGACCTTCACACTATAAACCGTATTGACTTACCGAAAGCGTGAACTACAAAGGTCAACAGTCTGTTTTGAGACTGCAACTGCACGGATAATCCAGGTCCAAACTGGACATCTGCAGGAGTTCCAGCCTGTTCCCCTAATGGCGTCCTCTGTAAAAAGATACAACAATTCAGTCAAAATACAAGCTCGGGAGGGAAACCTAAGAGTTGAGCTATCACATCTACATTTTATTAATGAAATTATACTTTTAATTCACAGAATACTCAGTAGATGTAATGCGGGTGCTTTAAAGCCCCAGTTAGTTTACTATTTTAAACTGGATTCCGAACTCTTTTGTCTCCCTAAAATAGAACTGCTTGAAAGTAGATTCTCTTGACCACTTTCGTAGTTTAAAAAATCGGCGAAGCACCCTCAGCGTTAACATTTGACGTCGGAGCCCCCGGACAGAGTGTGTTCTATACACTGCTACATTGATCCCCGCATCCCTCATCACATGAGTTACCCGTGTAGCGACCGTAGCTGCGTATCGGTGGGGAGGCGTTTGCTCGTCATGCCGGGTTCTATTCCCCACATGGGTACAATGTATTAAGTCCATTTCTGGTGTCCCCCGCCGTTAATTAGCTGGAATATTGCTAGAAGCGGCAACTCAATTACTCACTCACTCACACAGGTTTGTTTATCCCCATCCTTTCTCCACAGTGCGGTCACGTAGTCTCTGATACACTGCACCTACTACACAGAGCAAAAGATTCTCTGGATAAGCTTGTATTGTCAAATTATGTGGTTTTGAACCAAACATCGAGACCTTTGTTGGTTTTGTCAGAAGGACGACAACTTTGTCGCCCTTGCTGACGTAAGCATCAACAATATGGCCAGTTTCTCCGTCATGCGCTTATCTGATAATTTACCATTTTCAGGCATATAACTATATTGGACTAGGAGCACGTCTATATTTCAAGTTTGACGGTATCGGGACATGGAGATTTCTTATTAAAATATCTGTCATCAGCCTTTTGGTCAAAGTATGTTGACCAAATGGATATCCATGTATGTGGGGATGAAAAGCATGCAGACAAAGCTGATCTGCTGGTGTTATCGATTCTGTATTCAGATCCAGTTTCATACATGTGAGTTCGATACTCTTGGATATGCGGACTGCCTCTGTGTTCTAGTGGTAGAGCGTCAGCCCGGAGAGCGGAAGGTTCGAACCCCGTTCTAAATATGTTTGTAGAACACTCCTGTTCTGGGTCGAGAACATCAACGTTCAGAATATCTTCAGAACACATGGACGCGTTCTAAGAGTGTTACATCCATGTGTTCTGTCGAGCGTTCAGAAGTAGAAAACTTGGGTTTAGAGTGCGGGACCAATGGGCTAATATACACCTGACGTCAAGTGCAACGTTTGATTCATGGGATGAGGAGGCGCGGCAATGCAGGGTGGTCAGTCACACCAAGTACTAGTATTGAACAAAACTGTGTTTCTTGCATCTGCTGACACTAGTTTCGTTGATACAGACAGTCTTAGACAGAAGTAGTTCAGTATTTATTATTCGACAAAGGTATTCAATGTCATTGTTCAAGATTGGCGCCTCTGGTAAGCAGTAAACATCATTGGACACTGCGCTAGGCGGCAAGTAAACTCATACAGGAAAATGTCGGTGGTGCTTATTTAATGTCCAGGTTGGGAAAAATCGGGGTGTGGTTCACAGGACGACAATTCACCAATTTTTAAAACAGAATTTGAGGCTTTTTAAACACAACGTAAAATGATTGTTTTACCATCTAAGCAGTGTCTTGAATTTTTAAGAATATTTAGGTAGGTTCATTGTGTATATTAATTAGACATGACCTGTTAGGCATCTATTTTACATAAATGAAATACTCAAAAGAAAATTTCAAAACAAAAATTATTTTCAATGTTGGGCATGTGTTTGTTTCTCTTCATTTCGTCTCAGAATTATATAACAAAAAAAAAAGGGGGGATAATTGTTTGTATGGAATTATCAGGAGATTCGTATCAGCTTTGGGGTAGGTGTCACGTTTTATATTAAGGTTTTACATCTTATAGAAATTTAAAGTATACAGTTTAATAGGGTGTAATATCAATATTTTTAAAAAGGCGAAACAATTTGTTATATACTCTCCAGAACTATAGAGGAGTTTCGAAAAGGTCTGATTATTACAGATATACAACTAGGTATCGAGTGATGGGATGGATAAGAACAAGGTGTAGCTAGGTGAACCATGACGATCAACAGAACATGTATGTTGTATTGTATCATAAGGGTGCAAACAACCAAGAAAGACGACAGGGGGTCGCAGTCCAAATTAAACTTTTGAAACAATTTAACTTGATATCAATAATGGGCCACGATTGAGGTGAACATAAAAAATTGCTTATACGGCGTGGCATGGAACGAATCAATCTCACAATGACATGAGGCACCTTGCAGCACCATTTAGTAGGTGGCCTTTGACGTGTTTTTCTACGACTAGACTTGCTTCTTATCTCCTGAAAACAGCGACTTATCTACCTGTCTCCACCAGTATCCTGGATTCAAGAACGGAGTACGTGCCTCATTCAAGACACACGATTTTCACAAATACTGGACATTCGTGACTGCAATGACTTTTGCAGACATGCGGGATATTGATATTGTTGATGCCACATATTTTTAATGTGAAGGTAATCCTGTGTATTTCATGATTATTATTATTTTTCATTGATCTTGTGCGGTTATTTACTGATTTCCGAACTTAGTTCTGTACGTACCTATTTCTGGGTTCACTTTCGCGTTTCAATTTAGGAATGAATACGTACCAAGCATCATTTGTATGTGAGGTTTCAACTTCATTGGTCCAGTGGTTGCTGAGGAGATGTTGACAGACGCCACCGATGCCACCAACACTGGAGTCACCGAACAAGCAGGCTGTCAGTCAGGCTAGGTCAACTAGAACTACACCACAAACACTGGAGTCACCGAACAAGCAGGCTGTCAGTCAGGTGAGGTCAACTAGAACTACACCACAAACACTGGAGTCACCGAACAAGCAGGCTGTCAGTCAGGTGAGGTCAACTAGAACTACACCACAAACACTGGAGTCACCGAACAAGCAGGCCGTCAGTCAGGCTAGGTCAACTAGAACTACACCACAAACACTGGAGTCACCGAACAAGCAGGCCGTCAGTCAGGCTAGGTCAACTAGAACTACACCACAAACACTGGAGTCACCGAACAAGCAGGCTGTCAGTCAGGTGAGGTCAACTAGAACTACACCACCAACACTGGAGTCACCGAACAAGCAGGCTGTCAGTCAGGTGAGGTCAACTAGAACTACACCACAAACACTGGAGTCACCGAACAAGCAGGCCGTCAGTCAGGCTAGGTCAACTAGAACTACACCACAAACACTGGAGTCACCGAACAAGCAGGCCGTCAGTCAGGCTAGGTCAACTAGAACTACACCACAAACACTGGAGTCACCGAACAAGCAGGCTGTCAGTCAGGTGAGGTCAACTAGAACTACACCACCAACACTGGAGTCACCGAACAAGCAGGCCGTCAGTCAGGTGAGGTCAACTAGAACTACACCACAAACACTGGAGTCACCGAACAAGCAGGCTTTTAGTCAGGTGAGGTCAACTAGAACTACACCACCAACACTGGAGTCACCGAACAAGCAGGCTGTCAGTCAGGTGAGGTCAACTAGAACTACACCACAAACACTGGAGTCACCGAACAAGCAGGCTGTCAGTCAGGTGAGGTCAACTAGAACTACACCACAAACACTGGAGTCACCGAACAAGCAGGCTGTCAGTCAGGTGAGGTCAACTAGAACTACACCACCAACACTGGAGTCACCGAACAAGCAGGCTGTCAGTCAGGTGAGGTCAACTAGAACTACACCACAAACACTGGAGTCACCGAACAAGCAGGCTGTCAGTCAGGTGAGGTCAACTAGAATTACACCACAAACACTGGAGTCACCGAACAAGCAGGCTATCAGTCAGGTGAGGTCAACTAGAACTACACCACCAACACTGGAGTCACCGGACAAGCAGGCTGTCAGTCAGGTGAGGTCAACTAGAACTACACCACACTTCACTGACACAATATTTACTGTATATCCAACGATAGGATATGGAAAAGATCCTGTATGGCCAAATAGATACAAGTACATGTAATTTGGAATAAGTTAGATGTGAGGGGAGTATGTCTGTTTGACATGAGGAAAGTATGTCTGTTAGATGTGAGGGGAGTATGTCTGTTAGATATGAGGGGAGTATGTCTGTTAGATGTAAGGGGAGTATGTCTGTTAGATATGAGGGGAGTATGTCTGTTAGATGTGAGGGGAGTATATCTGTTAGATGTGAGGGGAGTATGTCTGTTAGATGTAAGGGGAGTATGTCTGTTAGATGTAAGGGGAGTATGTCTGTTAGATATTAGGGGATTATGTCTGTTAAATATGAGGGGAGTATGTCTGTTAGATATGAGGGGAGTATGTCTGTTAGATGTGAGGGGAGTATGTCTGTTAGATGTGAGGGGAGTATGTCTGTTAGATGTAAGGGGAGTATGTCTGTTAGATGTGAGGGGAGTATGTCTGTTAGATGTGAGGGGAGTATGCCTGGTAGTTGAGAGGGGAGTATGTCTGTTAGATGTGAGGGGAGTATGTCTGTTAGATGTGAGGGGATTATATCTGTTAGATGTGAGGGGAGTATGTCTGTTAGACATGAGGGGAGTATGTCTGTTAGATGTGAGGGGAGTATGTCTGTTAGATATGAGGGGAGTATGTCTGTTAGATGTGAGGGGAGTATGTCTGTTAGATATGAGGGGAGTATATCTGTTAGACATGAGGGGAGTATGTCTGTTAGATATGAGGGGAGTATGTCTGTTAGATATGAGGGGAGTATGTCTGTTAGATGTGAGGGGAGTATGCCTGGTAGTTTGAGAGGGGAGTATGTCTGTTAGATGTAAGGGGAGTATGTCTGTTAGATGTGAGGGGAGTATGTCAGTTAGATGTGAGGGGAGTATGTCTGTTAGATGTGAGGGGAGTATGTCTGTTAGATGTGAGGGGAGTATGTCTGTTAGATGTGAGGGGAGTATGTCTGTTAGATGTTAGGGGAGTATGTCTGTTAGATGTGAGGGGAGTATGCCTGGTAGTTGAGAGGGGAGTATGTCTGTTAGATGTGAGGGGAGTATGTCTGTTAGATGTGAGGGGAGTATGTCTGTTAGATGTGAGGGGAGTATGTCTGTTAGATGTGAGGGGAGTATGTCTGTTAGATGTGAGGGGAGTATGTCTGTTAGCTGTAAGGGGAGTATGTCTGTTAGATGTGAGGGGAGTATGTCTGTTAGATGTAAGGGGAGTATGTCTGTTAGACATGAGGGGAGTATGTCTGTTAGATATGAGGGGAGTATGTCTGTTAGATATGAGGGGAGTATGTCTGTTAGATGTGAGGGGAGTATGTCTGTTAGATGTGAGGGGAGTATGTCTGTTAGATATGAGGGGAGTATATCTGTTAGATATGAGGGGAGTATGTCTGTTAGATATGAGGGGAGTATGTCTGTTAGATATGAGGGGAGTATGTCTGTTAGATGTGAGGGGACTATGTCTGTTAGATATGAGGGGAGTATGTCTGTTAGATATGAGGGGAGTATGTCTGTTAGATATCAGGGGAGTATGTCTGTTAGATGTGAGGGGAGTATGTCTGTTAGATGTGAGGGGAGTATGTCTGTTAGATATGAGGGGAGTATATCTGTTAGATATGAGGGGAGTATGTCTGTTAGATATGAGGGGAGTATGTCTGTTAGATATGAGGGGAGTATGTCTGTTAGATGTGAGGGGAGTATGTCTGACTGATATGAGGGGAGTATGTCTGTTAGATGTGAGGGGAGTATGTCTGACTGATATGAGGGGAGTATATCTGTTAGATGTGAGGGGAGTATATCTGTTAGATGTAAGGGGAGTATGTCTGTTAGATGTGAGGGGAGTATGTCTGACTGATATGAGGGGAGTATGTCTGTTAGATGTGAGGGGAGTATGTCTGTTAGATATGAGGGGAGTATGTCTGTTAGATATGAGGGGAGTATGTCTGTTAGATATGAGGGGAGTATGTCTGTTAGATGTGAGGGGAGTATGTCTGTTAGATGTGAGGGGAGTATGTCTGACTGATATGAGGGGAGTATGTCTGTTAGATGTGAGGGGAGTATGTCTGTTAGATATGAGGGGAGTATGTCTGTTAGATATGAGGGGAGTATGTCTGTTAGATATGAGGGGAGTATGTCTGTTAGATATGAGGGGAGTATGTCTGTTAGATGTAAGGGGATTATGCCTGGTAGATGTGAGGGGAGTATGTCTGTTAGATGTGAGGGGAGTATGTCTGTTAGATGTGAGGGGAGTATGTCTGTTAGATATTATGGGATTATGTCTGTTAGATGTAAGGGGATTATGCCTGGTAGATATGAGGGGAGTATGTCTGTTAGATGTGAGGGGAGTATGTCTGTTAGATGTGAGGGGAGTATGTCTGTTAGTTGTGAGGGGAGTATGTATGTCAGATGTGAGGGGAGTATGTCTGTTAGATGTGAGGGGAGTATGTCTGTTAGATGTGAGGGGAGTATGTCTGTTAGATATCAGGGGAGTATGTCTGTAAGATGTAAGGGGAGTATGTCTGTTAGATGTGAGGGGAGTATGTCTGTTAGATATGAGGGGAGTATGTCTGTTAGATGTGAGGGGAGTATGTCTGTTAGATGTGAGGGGAGTATGTCTGTTAGATATGAGGGGAGTATATCTGTTAGATATGAGGGGAGTATGTCTGTTAGATATGAGGGGAGTATGTCTGTTAGATATGAGGGGAGTATGTCTGTTAGATGTGAGGGGAGTATGTCTGACTGATATGAGGGGAGTATGTCTGTTAGATGTGAGGGGAGTATGTCTGACTGATATGAGGGGAGTATATCTGTTAGATGTGAGGGGAGTATATCTGTTAGATGTAAGGGGAGTATGTCTGTTAGATGTGAGGGGAGTATGTCTGACTGATATGAGGGGAGTATATCTGTTAGATGTGAGGGGAGTATGTCTGTTAGATATGAGGGGAGTATGTCTGTTAGATATGAGGGGAGTATGTCTGTTAGATGTGAGGGGAGTATGTCTGACTGATATGAGGGGAGTATGTCTGTTAGATGTGAGGGGAGTATGTCTGTTAGATATGAGGGGAGTATGTCTGTTAGATGTGAGGGGAGTATGTCTGACTGATATGAGGGGAGTATGTCTGTTAGATGTGAGGGGAGTATGTCTGTTAGATATGAGGGGAGTATGTCTGTTAGATATGAGGGGAGTATGTCTGTTAGATATGAGGGGAGTATGTCTGTTAGATATGAGGGGAGTATGTCTGTTAGATGTAAGGGGATTATGCCTGGTAGATGTGAGGGGAGTATGTCTGTTAGATGTGAGGGGAGTATGTCTGTTAGATGTGAGGGGAGTATGTCTGTTAGATATTATGGGATTATGTCTGTTAGATGTAAGGGGATTATGCCTGGTAGATATGAGGGGAGTATGTCTGTTAGATGTGAGGGGAGTATGTCTGTTAGATGTGAGGGGAGTATGTCTGTTAGATGTGAGGGGAGTATGTCTGTTAGATGTGAGGGGAGTATGTCTGTTAGATGTGAGGGGAGTATGTCTGTTAGTTGTGAGGGGAGTATGTATGTCAGATGTGAGGGGAGTATGTCTGTTAGATGTGAGGGGAGTATGTCTGTTAGATGTGAGGGGAGTATGTCTGTTAGATATCAGGGGAGTATGTCTGTAAGATGTAAGGGGAGTATGTCTGTTAGATGTGAGGGGAGTATGTCTGTTAGATGTGAGGGGAGTATGTCTGTTAGATGTGAGGGGAGTATGTCTGTTAGATGTAAGGGGATTATGCCTGGTAGATGTGAGGGGAGTATGTCTGACTGATATGAGGGGAGTATGTCTGTTAGATGTGAGGGGAGTATGTCTGACTGATATGAGGGGAGTATGTCTGTTAGATGTGAGGGGAGTATGTCTGTTAGATGTGAGGGGAGTATGTCTGTTAGATGTGAGGGGAGTATGTCTGTTAGATATGAGGGGAGTATGTCTGTTAGACATGAGGGGAGTATGTCTGTTAGATATCAGGGGAGTATGTCTGTTAGATGTAAGGGGAGTATGTCTGTTAGATGTAAGGGGAGTATGTCTGTTAGAGGTAAGGGGGGTTATGCCTGGTAGATGTAAGGGGAGTATGTCTGTTAGATATCAGGGGAGTATGTCTGTTAGATGTGAGGGGAGTATGTCTGTTAGATGTGAGGGGAGTATGTCTGTTAGATGTGAGGGGAGTATGTCTGTTAGATGTAAGGGGATTATGCCTGGTAGATGTGAGGGGAGTATGTCTGTTAGATATCAGGGGAGTAGGTCTGTTAGATGTGAGGGGAGTATGTCTGTTAGATGTAAGGGGATTATGCCTGGTAGATGTGAGGGGAGTATGTCTGTTAGATATCAGGGGAGTATGTCTGTTAGATGTGAGGGGAGTATGTCTGTTAGATGTGAGGGGAGTATGTCTGTTAGATGTGAGGGGAGTATGTCTGTTAGATGTAAGGGGATTATGCCTGGTAGATATGAGGGGAGTATATCTGTTAGATATCAGGGGAGTATGTCTGTTAGATGTGAGGGGAGTATGTCTGTTAGATATGAGGGGAGTATGTCTGTTAGATGTGAGGGGAGTATATCTGTTAGATATCAGGGGAGTATGTCTGTTAGATATGAGGGGAGTATGTCTGTTAGATGTGAGGGGAGTATGTCTGTTAGTTGTGAGGGGAGTATGTCTGACTGATATGAGGGGAGTATGTCTGTTAGATGTGAGGGGAGTATGTCTGACTGATATGAGGGGAGTATATCTGTTAGATGTGAGGGGAGTATATCTGTTAGATGTAAGGGGAGTATGTCTGTTAGATGTGAGGTGAGTATGTCTGACTGATATGAGGGGAGTATGTCTGTTAGATGTGAGGGGAGTATGTCTGACTGATATGAGGGGAGTATATCTGTTAGATGTGAGGGGAGTATATCTGTTAG